GATCCCTAGTGTTCTCCTCATCGGTCCAATCTCCTGAATTGAGAATAAATGATACAGCCATCCTTTTCACACTCACATTCGGGTCCCTTATACCGGTTTCTTTGATAAGGCGGAAAAGTTGTCTAGTGTTGCCTATCCCTGCTGCCTTTTCCATCACTTTCGCTCTCGCCACACACCACTGTTCGCAGTCGTTTCATATGCTTTTTATCAGTCTGTGTCTAAGGAGACTTCGCTCTTCGTCATGCTCAGAGTCAGGTGGGATGTGTTTTCGAGCATCCATCAGTTCGGTGGATGTATGATCGTTTCCTAGACGCAGCACACATCGATTGGGCGAGATTCTAAATTCCTAGCTAATGAAGCCTGTTGCCCTATTTGACTCATGTAGTTTAGAACGGGGTTTAAAGAAACCAGGAACGACGATTCGTGAACTGGAATCGTTTGCATTAGCGGTACAGTGAGCTGGATGAATGCGACTAGAGTTAGTGGCAGAGATAAGACAGATATTACGGGGTGTAAGGATTTGATTTTGACCAATTTGGTCTCGCGTGCTGTTACGGGTATGAGGGGGGTTGTCACTTTCCGGCTGCCCACACCATGGAAAGTTGTCTCTTGAGGGACCTGAAAAGGAAGATAAATTAGTGTTGGTCTTAGAGACCTGGGTGCGTAACCTCAGAGCCCAGGGGACAACTGCTTGAGGCCGGTCACGCACGGCGTTTTGAGTATTAGCTCCGTTCTTAGAAGCACTTAGTGGGTACACTTACCGACGGAGACGGAAATCCGCAAGGTGGGGTGAGGTGTGACATTTTTGGGTAGACCTTTTCTAACTCTTCCTTCCTTGTGAGAAGGCAGCATCGCTGCAGCTGCTGGTTGTCCGAGGGAGACACCTTACTTCCGTCACACCCCTCTGCAGTCAGCAGTACGACTTCGCCCTCAGACATAGGTAGCTGCTTTTAGTATTATTGTTCTCCAATCGACCTGTTTGGCATGGTAGAACCTCCAGGAACATATGTTCCAGCCAGTGTAGCTCGCGGTTGGGACATCACGATAGGCAAGCCCGTCCACCACGTCAAGGTAGCAGCTACGGTCGGGACCACGGAGATTCATAGATGTCCAACAAGATATTTACCGAAAAATATTGCAACCTGTTTTCGCTTTAGAATTTTAGAAATAAATTCTGAAAACGTACAATTCAGTTTGTGACAGTATGCACTAGAAAAATTAATTTGAAAGGCAATACTACTATTTTCCCGCCAATTTGTGGAATGAGTTGCGACAGCTAAATTTAAGTTCATGGATAGATGGCGTGAATATAATCTCTATATTTGGTGAAAGAGTTTCTAGTGATACTAGAGTAAGCGTGTTTGTATTTTACGGCTCCTTATTATTACAGAACAAACTTCCGTTTCATAAAACCCTCCAGAAACAGAAACTTTGAACGACTAAGCATCTGAGATTTTTATTTTGAAAAAAGTTGAACATTGAAATGAGCATCTAGGAAGTTTGGAAGTGAATTTGAAACAATTGATAATATTTAGAGAGGTACTTGCCTGGTCGTTGCGTAATGGGATCATTTGGACCGTTTTTTTCAGCTTAAAACATCATAAAAATGTTATTCAACTGTTTTTCATGGCTGGGAATGAAATGTTATAGTGGAATTTATGCTCCAATAGACACCACTCACTCAGCTCGGAGTTCTGAAAACGACACATGTGTTAAACTTTGTGGAAAACCTAGGCCGATTGCTATTTGCGTTCAATATGTATAGTACAGAATTTTACTGATTAGGAAAATTTTCAGTCCTTGTAAATATCGTCGAACAGAAAAATCCTACAAGTAGGGAATGCTTGACAAGCCACTTGATATATTATAGTCAGTCAGTCAGTTGCAACGTAGAACTTCGTACGTAAGTACATCAGTTCATGTTGCCATACCACATCAGCACAGAGATATAATTGTCAATTCAAATCCAATAGTAGAAGAGGTAGTAAAGGTATTAGAAGTAATCGGAGAGGTTAGAATTAGAAGATATTATGCACGAAGTATGATTCAATGATATAAGTTTAGAAAGTAAAAGCTAGATGTGTTGAAGAACCCAGAAGATTAGGATTTGAGAGAACACAAAGAATAAATGCACTGGCGCCATTGCGAACGGTTTTGAGCCATGTCATTCAAGGTCTCCAACCATCGATTATTATCATCTCGCGGACCCCAACCAGGTAGTCGACAATTACCGACATGGCTAAGTCCACTTGTCAATGACTTCATGGATTTATGCCATGTTTTGGTCCGGCAGCCCCTAGCTTTCTTCCAACCTATTCCTACACTACAAAACAAAGCTTGACGAGGCAGTCGGTGGTTGGGCATACGCAACACGTGTCCCAACCACCTCAAATGACGAAGTTTCATTACTTCATCGATTGATCTGCCATTCTTACCTAGTACCCGTTTCCTAATAACAGCGTTGCTCACTCGGGTGTCCCACGATATACGAGCAATGCTTCGAAGACACCTATGATCGAAAACCAATAGCCAACGAGTATCTTCTACTATCATTGGCCAAGTTTCACAGCCATAAAGTAAGACGGAGCGAACCACTGCACAGTACACTCGTCCTTTAGTCAGCAAACGGATATCTCGCCTACGCCATAAGTGACGCAGGTTCGCAAAAGCCAATCGAGCCTTCTGTATCCGTGCCGAGATTTCGTCAGTCACCAGGCCATCAGCACTGATGAGACTCCCAAGATAAGTGAAGCAGTCTACACGTTCGACCACTTCACTCCCTATCACTAGTCCAGGTGCCGATGAAACCCAGTCTTGAAGCAACATTTTGCATTTCGAGGGGGAAAACCGCATCCCGAACATGCTTGCATTGTTGCTTAGGGTAGTCAGAAGACTCTGCATTTTGTCAGCGTCTTCACCAAGTAGGACAATGTCATCGGCATATTCTAAGTCAATAAGCGAGCCACCTGGTAAAAGGTCTACTCCAGAAAATTCAGACGAGGATAAGCTTATTTCTAGGAGCATCTCTATGATTAAATTAAACAAGAATGGAGAAAGTGGACATCCCTGACGGACACCACTTGAAGTAGAGAATTCCGGTGACAGTTCGCCATAAGCTCTCACTCGACCAGTAATGTTCCAGTTGGGAGCTTGTATAAGGTTAATGTACTTCTTTGGTACACCTTTCAATGACAGACACTGCCACAGAACCTCAAGATGCACAGAGTCAAATGCCGCCTTAAGGTCTAGGAGAACAACTATTGTAGGACGCCTAAATGTGTGTCTGTGTTCCAGGACCTGTCGTAGTGTGAAGATGTGGTCTATACAGCCACGTCCAGGTCGAAAACCAGATTGGTTTTTCTCGAGTTTGCTCTTCACGAGCTTTCGTTAAGCGTCGAAGTATTACTGAGGCCAATATTTTAGATACTATATTAGTTAGACTTATTCCTCTGTGATTGTCACAAGAAGACTTGTGTCCTTTCTTATAGATTGGGACAATCAGTGATTGAGACCGGTCGAATGGGATTATGTCCAGTTTCCAGATTCTACCTAAGATCTCAGTCAATCTAGCTGCTAAAACTGGACCACCATCCTTAAATATCTCAGGGGTCAGTCTATCAGGACCTGCAGCTCGTCCTCGCTTCAGATATCCTAACGCTTTCTCAACTTCATTAAGACTAGAGGGACTTACGTCGATTCGTCATTCAGGATGACTGGAGATCGTGGGTAACTGAAGAGTGGCTTGAGGCCAGTTGAACTGATCCCTAAAGTGTTCTGCCCATCGATCCAGTCTCCTGGATTGAGAATAAATAATAGTCCCGTCATTTTCTGAGATAGTCTCACTTACACTAGGATTCCTAATACCAGTTTCCTTGATAAGTTGAGGTTGAGGTGATGCACTGATAGTTTAGTGTTTCACAAAAACAAAGTACAGCTGTTGACTAAAATCTGTAATATATGGTTATAATGGGCCTCAAAACTGATTACCAAATCAAAATACACTTGTATGCAATATAAGTAAACTGATTTCATATATGCCTAATAAGTAGACTAAATAGCACACTGCCATATCTGAAATGATAACTTTTAGGGTTGGTTTACGGATTATTGTGTATAAACTTATTGTATGATCAATCAGTAATCAAACTACACATTAATAGTCCTTCTGACATAAACTCTTGATAAACCAACTACTAACTACTGTTGGGTGATTTGTTATTCTTAGCCTAGTGCAAGTTTATCACTTACAGTCTCTCCTATTCACAGACAATTTTAGCTTTTTCATGTATAGATATATTTTCTCATTCTATGGTGTGACGTGGTCTGGTATGTAAACTATGTTTGGTTGAAGTTTTTCAGATGGCTTATGAAGGTAAAGCACAGAGAAAACAGCTGTTGAGTTATGGACCAACAAGCATTTAGAGGTGACTCACGGTTTCTGGTGCCACATGATATTGATTAGCGGTTAGGGATGCAAAAAACATTGTCACATTAATAGTGTGTAAACTGGATATTGTGCACATCGAATGCGACTCATTTCTAGCGGTTGAGAGTTGATTGTACGAACCAGGGAATCACAGCTCGAAGCAAATGAAATATTAGTAAGTTTAGCAAACCAGACGTTCCACAATTGTGACTATTTTATTGACATGATTAAATGAAAGTCACCAAACTAATTCTTATTTTGTGACAATGTCTCGATAGCTATTTAAACCTGTGTACTTTAGGAAAACAGCAAAACACGAAATCGATCGAAAAATAGAGGTAATTTGAAGCATATGATTATTAAACAAAGACAGAAAAAATAAGGCAAGAAATATATTTGTATTTAAAAAAACTCATGAATAGTTCGTAATGGACACCAGTGATATATGTACATAATTCGAATTGGACTCTGTATTACGGATTCCTTAGTAATGTATTCTTAGGTTGACGCTTAGTGGTAGATGCACAAATCTAGGTAGTAAGTTTCAGGGATTTAGAGGGCATTTTCTTGACTTTTACCAATTGTCACAGCTAGAGGATGTCTCTAAATTAAGATAAAAAGTCGAATAAAACAGAAATACTGTTATTATCAAAAGATAAACAGAAAAACTAAATAAGTTTGTTTTGCCAAATACTTTAGGCATAGTTGCCTACCTTTAGAACACAGGAACTTTATGAAGTCATGGACTGAAACAACAGAGCCATGAGAGCCCAAGAACAAATCCCTTGAAAAGATTTTATCGATTTGTCCGTGGATCCCTTGTGATTTTGGAAGACAGTTATTTGGACTATCAGTGGATTTGTTTGACGACCTAGTACCTTCAAAATGAAAGGTTGAGAAAAGCAAAGTATTACGAATAAGCCAACTAACAATTAGAAAGACGAGAAAAATTATACCACCATAATTTCACAAATCGTTTTTTATACGTAGTAGTTAAAACGATGACAATAAATCAGTAAGGCTCTTCCTTGTTTAGAACACATTTACAGCAACTCTGATTGCGCAGCATGACTTTGATATCATACACATAGCTCAGATTAACCCTTGAACGTTCACAAAACAAACTGTACGAATAAATAAATTTAAAATGCTCCTACTCTAGGCAATTAGTTAACCTGGTTGGATGTTACAAAATGCTCAAGTCCGATTCTGTAATAAAGACCAAAGAATAACAAATTCACATAGCTGATAAAAAGAACATCTCAAAAATTTATGCAACCACTGAGAAAGACGAACCCGTGAATAAACAATACTGGGTGAATTCCGAACTCAGCTGGAAGTTTACGAAAAGACTGGTATTGAACAAACATACTTCGAGAAAAACCAAAATCCAGCATTCGAATAGCAAGTAATTTCTTATTGACAAAATAAAGAGATGACACTTAATCCAATCATGAATCCATCGATGAAATTATGAACAAAATATCGCTTTATTGTCTTCATATCTCTATGACTGTTATATTAGTTTTAGAATAGTCAACAAACCAGTACGTAAGCTCATGCACCATTAGCATGAGATAAAATCGTCAGAGCAAATCCCAAAGTAGTCAAGGTAGTAACATTTCTAGTGCTAACAGAAAACATTAATCAAGGATACTAATCGAGCGGAAAATATGAAAATTTTCTGGGAATTCACAAACTTATGATTTTGCAGAGACGGTGTGGATACACCTGAGCCATTGTGAACGATCTCAAGCCATGTCACTGAGTTTCTAACCACTGGTCAAAATAATCACATGGAGCAAAATCAGGTAGTCTACACCTATTAACATGGCTCGGTCCAGTTGTCAATGACTCTGTGGACTGGTGCCGTGTTTCGGTTTGGCCACCTCTAACTTCCGTTCAGCCTACTAAGCTGGACAACATCAGCCGTTGAAATAGGCGCTCGTTCGGCATATGTATCCGCCCCAACTATTTTATTTGATGAGACTTTACTGCCCCACTGATCGATTTTCCGTCTTTTAATCAGTACTCGAAGATCGACATCGCTGACTCGTGGTCTCAAAATACACGAACGATGCTTCGAATAGGCCTATCAGTCAGTCAGTTACAACGTAGAACTTCGTACGTACGTACGTCAGCTCAAGTCCCCGTATCACATTAGCAGAAAGACGCAATTGTCAATTTAAATACCATAGTAGTAGGGGTTGTAGAAGTATAAGCAGTAGTCGGAAAAATCAGGGTTCGAGGATATTATTCAAGTAGTAGAATCTAGTCAAATAAACTTAAAAACAAAAATATATAGGTGGTTAGGGATTTAGAAGGTCAAGATTTGAAAGAATACAAAGAATGGATGCACCTGTACCAATGCAAACGATTTTGAGCCATATAATACAAGATCTCTAAACATCCATTACCATCAACTTTCAGGCCCCAGGTAGTCGATACCTACCAACATGACTGAATCCAGTTGTCAGTGACTTGATGGATTTGCACCATCATTTTATTTGGCCACCCCTAGGTTTCTTCCAACTTATTCCATCGCAAAACATCATGATTATGTTTCACATCCATAAAATAGGATAGAGCGAATTGCTGATCAGCAAACCGACATCTCGCCTACGTCACAAGTTGACAAAAACCAACGGGGTTTTCTAAATCCGTGCTGAGATTTTGTCAGATATCAGCACTATTGAGACTTTCAAGATAAGTGAAGTGGCAAGCACACTCGGTTAGCTCACTCCTTATCGTTTCCGGTGCTGACGCAGTCCAACCCTAAGGCAATATTGTGCATTCAGAAGGGGAGGATAGCATCTCAAATATGATTGCATTGTTGCTTAACGTGGTCATTTTGTCAGCGTGTCTACCAAGTAGAACTATGTCACTGAGTATCCTAAGTCAACAAATGGATCTCCTGGTAGGAGGTCAGACGACGAAAGTGCTATCTGTGGAAGCATGTTTATGACAAAGTCAAATAAGAATGAAGAAACAGGACAACCTTGAAGAACATAACTTAAAGCAATCAATTCCGATGACAATTCTCCATAAGCTCCGACTCCACCAGTAGTGCTTGAGCAGGGAGCCAGTACAAGGTTAATGTACTTTGATATGCCTCAGTGACAAACAATCGGTGGTAGAGTCCATTTTCCAGATTATAGCTAAGTTCTCAGTTAATTTAACTACTGAAACCAGACAGCCATTCCTAAAGATCTCCAGGGCTAGTCCACCTAAACCTGCCGGTCTCCCTTGTCTCAGATTAACTGAATTCTTTTCCGACTCATTAAGAGTTGAAGAACTTCTTTCGTAGTGCCTGAAAGGCACTCATGACCTTTCGATCATTAAGTTAATCTCTAAGGAGTCTGTTTACTGTAGCTTTTCTTTATCACAATAGACTTAGGTCAACATGTGCTCCAGAATGAGCTCTAGTCTCCTAATGAGCCTCTCTAACACTAACTGATGACAATCTTATCTGTTCGAGGTCTGAATTGAGTCGATCGGACATTTCGCTATGTCAGACAATGTGTTTCTCTATACTCAAAGTTGATATATACTAGAAATAGATGGTTATCTGAGCCTAATTGCAGCAACTGGTTAGTTATGATGTTATCAGTAACCGCTCAAATTGAAAAGTTTAGTTCCGAATCTACATATTGATATCAGCAATCCATGGAAGGCTACCATGATCAAACAGGCAATCGCCAAACATACTTAACCAGCACTCATAAGTATAGAGCATAAATACTTTTACTAACATGCTGTAACCACTATCTTTTAAAACGGGATTAGTGTCACGATGGCTGAGATTGGCTTTTGTTGTGACGACCTTACCTATCGACACACCACCTGCACTCATATAACTGCTCAGATATATGAGGCTATAGACAGTTAATTACAGCATGACAGCAGGGTTTCTGGTAGTTTTGAAGAAGTGCATTCCAGTTATACGCCAACTAAGAGCAGCGTAATGTCAAACAGTATGTAAATGTCATTCGCGTACTTAACACAGCACTTTGAATATCACTGTCCTACTACATTACGAATGCCGAGTTTCGCTACCCATATAAGTGTAACCTATTCCTGCCGGTTACACGCCGAACCTGATGCTAGATTACAGATTTCTCGTGCTAAATCCCTACGTAATTATGATTCTACAGGTTGTTTTTTTATTGAAATCTGTATTTAAAACCGTCCTTAACATGAAATTTTGTCAAACTATTATTATTCGGTTGAGGCTGAAAGTGCTAACAAGTACACAGTTGTTATGATGAAGTTAAAATTTCAACCAACTCTAGTATTCTAAATTTATAGTTATAAATATAAGGTTATTTTCTATCAAGTCCTGGCATAGGAATGAATATTCTGACACTATCATGAGTTCCCAGAATGCAATAGACTATATGACCGAACAGGATCCCTAGAGATTACTAAGAACTGTAATTCTTTATTATGGGACTGTTGTTTGCAAAAACAGTATTTTAGTCAATTTATTAAAATTAATTAGACCTTGCCATACTATACTGACGAGAAGCAAACGAAATAGAATGAATTCGTGTTAATCAGTCAGTAAGCTACAAAGTAAAACTTCGTACGTTCATACAATTCAGTTTGGCGTTGCCTCTTTGTCGTATCTGACTACGCTACCACTGACTGCAGTTTAGACGAGGTGAAAGATGAGTTTTACAGAAAGCTTTCGGACCTCCACCAAAAAGCTAGGCGTTCTGATATAGTAATAATGGCTGGTGACTCTAATGCTCAAGTAGGTAGACTAGGTGAAAAGGAAAGACACCCGGGTGGATGTTATGGTGTCGCGACTCAGAAAACAGATAATGGCAACCGTCTGTTGCAACTATGCTCAGATAACCACCTATTTCTAGCAAACACTAACTTTAGACATAAGGAAAAACATCTGTTGACCTGGAGACCCCCGAAGTCGTCTGACCCAACTAGATCACATCGCCATCAGCCACCACTGAAGGGGTTCGATAGAGGACTGTCGCTCGTTCTGGAGCACATGTTTAGGTTCAGATCATGCTCTAGTGCGAGTGCGTATCAGTTTGAGGCTTAGTGGACGTAGGAAAGACACCGTAAGAAAGCCTCTTAGGGCTTTACTTAATGATAATCAAGCTAAGAAAATATTTCAGGAGGAACTAGAAAAACAGTTAGGCGACCATGCAAGTGATTCTCATCCGAAGGCAGGTTGAAATGACATCAAAAAGGCTATACAAACAACAGTGATATCTGCTAGCAAGGTAAACCATAAGGCTAGGATGAAGCCGTGGATCTCAGTCACATCCACCGAACTGATGGATGCTCGAAAACACATCCCACCTGACTCTGAACATGATGAAGAACGAATTCAACTTAAGTGTAGTCCGATAAAAAGCCTACGTAACAACCGTGAACAGTGGTGGGTGGCGAATGTAAAAGCGATGGAAATGGCAGCGGCGATAGGCAACAACAGACAGTTGTAACGACTTATCAAGGAAACTGGTATTAGGAACCCGAATGTGAGTGAGACTATCTCGGAAATGGATGGTTTTATAATCCATTTTCAATCCAGGAGACTGGATCAATGGGCAGAACACTTTAGGGATCAGTTCAACTGGCCTCGAGTCTCTCTCCGGTTACCCACGATCTCCAGTCATCCTGAATGGCAAATCGACGTAAGTCCCTCTAGTCTTAGTGGAGTTGAGAAAGCGTTAGGATATCTGAAGCGAGGGCGAGCTGCAGGTCCTGATAGACTGACCCCTGAGATATTTAAGGATGGTGGTCCAGTTGGTTTGGTCACACCTAGGTTTCTTCAAACTTCATTAAGAGTTGGAGGACTCACATCAATTCGCCATTCAGGTTGACTGGAGATCATCTGTAACCGGAGTGTGGCTGAAGGCCAGTTGAATTCGCCCTTGAAATGTTCTGCCCATCCATCCAATCTCCTGGATTGAGAATAAATGAAACGACCATCCTTTTCTCAGACAGTTTCGATAACAGATAGATTGTTAGTACCAGTTTCTTATCGATGCTGCCTTTTCCATCTCTCTTGATTTCGCTATTCACCACCGTTCCCGAGCATTGTGTAGACTTCTTATCAGCTTGCGATAAAACTGACTCCGCTCTTCGTCATGTTCAGAGCCAGTCGGGATGAGTTTCCGAGCATCCATCAGTTCAGTAGATGCTATTGAAATCCACTGCTTCTCCCCGATTTGGAGGTTTACTTTGCTAGCAGATATCACTGGTGTTTCTACAGCATTTTGGTTATCATTCCAAGCTGCTTCAGGGTAGACATCACTTACATCGTTGCCTAACTGTTTTTCTACTTGCTCCTGAAATATTTTCAAGTAAAAAAGTAAGAGGTTTCCTTGCGGTGTCTTTACTACGTTCAGTAAGTCGCGAATATGGCAGTCAGTCAGTCAGTTACATCGTAGAACTTCGTACGTACGTACATCAGTTTAAGTTGCCATTATATACAGTAGCAGAGATATAATTGTCAATTCAAACCCAATGGTAATAGAGATCATACGTATTATAAGTAATTGGAGAGATTATGGTTCGATGTTATTTAAGAAGTATAAATCAGTGAGGTAAATGTAAAAAGAGAAAGATAGAGATGATGAGGAATTCAGAAAGTTAAAATTTGAGAAAACACCATTAATTATTGCACCTGCGCCATTACAAACGATTTCGAGCCGTCACTCAGTGTCTTTAACCATCGATTATTGTCATCTCGCCGACACCAACCAGGTAGCCTACATCTACATCTAATTCAGATGAAGATAATGTTATGTCTAGGAGCATGTCTATGACAAAATTGAACAAGAATGGAGAAAGTGGACATCCTTGACGGACACCACTTGAAGTAAAGAATTCCGGTGACAGCTCTCACTCGACTTGTAGTGTTCGAGTAGAGAGCTTGTATAAGATTAATGTATTTCTTTGGTACACCTTTCAATGACAAATTGACACATAACCTTACGATCAACACAGCCAAGTGCCGCCTTAACCTTGAATAGCTGCTATTAGTCTCATCATTCTCCAATCGACCTGGCTGGCATGGTAGAACCTCCAGGAACATACGTGACCAGCAAATATAGCTCTGTTGGATCATCACGATAGGGAACGTAGCAGCTACGGTCAGGAGTCGCAAACAAGTACGCGCTCGCATTAGGCATGATCTGAATCTAAACATGTGATCGATTCGTTTTGTGTTCTTAGAGACCTGAAAGCATGACCGCGGAGATCAAGGAACAACTGCTTGAGGCCGGTTAACTACCGAGTTTCTTATCGTAGTTAGCGCAGAAAGAGGACAGCAGTGCTATGTTCACTGTATTGAAGTTAGTGTTGTGAAATATTAGCCTACTAACTGAACTTATCAACTGCAATACACCACTGTGGAGATCATAAAATTTGTTTTTAGACATTCACTGTTTTTAAATAAATATTCAGTTGGCTCAAAAGCACGTGAACACACACGAAATGCGTAATTATGAATGAAATAGTAAATTGGGTTTGTTAATAACAACATATGAATTACTATTGGATGCTGAACTTTTTACGCTCTCATGACACAACGGGCTCAGTGTGGTTGATTGTAGCTTTTTTAGGTTCTTCAATCTATTGGCCTTCACTTTGAGAACCAAAAACTTATCTTCCATGATCCTTTTAGTGCTATCACCAGGATACCTTTTTGGTCTCCATGTACCAGCAATTATTCTTCGTACAGTAGCTTCACTTCTTCCGAAATACTTCGCAATTTCTTCAACATTTTTCCCCTCTTCATATAACTTTAGCACATTTCCACGTTCTGATTCGGTTAAATATCGACCCAAATGCCTTAAATATTTAGTAGAAATAGTTTAAATGACTTCAGCGAGCAGGAATAATAATTTGAGTATGAACTTACCTAATTATTCATGCAGCTCACCATTTAATTATTTGTTCATATTAAAGTGCTAATTACAATAAACCTTTATATTTTCTATAGTAAGATTATTAATTAAAAAGTTCAAAGATAGATGGTCAGTCAGTCAGTCAGATGCAACGTAGAACTTTGTACATAAGTACATCAGTTCATGTTGCCATACCACATCAGCACAGAGAAGTAATCGTCAATTCAAATCCAATAGTAGAAGAGGTAGTAAGGGAATTAGAAATAATCGGAGAGGTTAGGATTAGAAGATACTACTCAAGAAGTATGATTCAGTGAGAAAAGTTTAGAGAGTCGAAACTAGAGGTGTTGAAGAATCCAGAAGATTAGCATTTGAGAGAACACAGAGAATAAATGCACTGGCGCCATTGCGAACGATTTTGAGCCATGTCATTCAAGGTCTCTAACCATCGATTATTATCATCTCGCGGACCCCAACCAGGTAGTCGACAATTACCGACATGGCTCAGTCCACTAGTCAATGACTTCATGGATTTGTGCCATGTTTTGGTCTGGCCGCCCCTAGCTTTCTTCCAACCTATTCCTACACTACAAAACAAAGCTCTTCGAGGCAGTCTGTGGTTGGGCATACGCAACACATGTCCCAACCACCTCAACTGGTGAAGTTTCAATACTTCATCGATTGATCTGCCATTCTTACCTAGCACCCGATTCCTAATAACAGCGTTGCTCACTCGGGTGTCCCACGATATACGAGCAATGCTTCGAAGACACCTATGATCGAAAACCATTAACCTACGAATATCTTCTACTCTCACTGGCCATGTTTCACAGCCATAAAGTAAGACGGAGCGAACTACTGCGCAGTACACTCGTCCTTTAGTCAGCAAACGGATATCTCGCCTACGCCATAAGTGACGCAGGTTCGCAAAAGCCAATCGAGCCTTCTGTATCCGAGCTGAGATTTCGTCAGTCACCAGGCCATCGGCACTGATGAGACTCCCAAGATAAGTGAAGCGGTCTACACGTTCAACCACTTCACTCCCTATCACTAGTTCAGGTGCCAATGAAACCCAGTCTTGAAGCAACATTTTGCATTTCGAGGGGGAAAACCGCATCCCGAACATGCTTGCATTGTTGCTTAGGGTAGTCAGAAGACTCTGCATTTTGTCAGCGTCTTCACCAAGTAGGACAATGTCATCGGCATATTCTAAGTCAATAAGCGAGCCACCTGGAAGAAGGTCTACTCCTGAAAATTCAGACGAGGATAATGTTATGTCTAGGAGCATGTCTATGATAAAATTAAACAAGAATGGAGAAAGTGGACATCCCTGACGGACACCACTTGATGTAGAGAATTCCGGTGACAGTTCGCCATAAGCCCTCACCCGACCAGTGGTGTTCGAGTAAAGAGCTTGTATAAGGTTAATGTACTTCTGTGGTACACCTTTCAATGACAGACACTGCCACAGAACCTCACGATCAACAGAGTCGAATGCCGCCTTAAGGTCTAGGAAAACAACTATTGTAGGACGCCTAAATGTATGTCTATGTTCCAGGACCTGTCTGAGTGTGAAGACGTGGTCTATACAGCCACGTCCAGGTCGAAAACCAGCCTGGTTTTCTCGAGTCTGCTCTTCACGAGCTTTCGTTAAGCGTCGAAGTATTATTGAGGCCAATATTTTAGATACTATATTAGTTAGACTTATTCCTCTGTGATTGTCACAAGAAGACTTTTGTCCTTTCTTATAGATTGGGACAATCAAGGATTGCGACCAGTCGGATGGGATTACGTCCAGTTCCCAGACTCTACCTAAGATCTCAGTCAATCTAGCTGCTAAAACTGGACCACCATCCTTAAATATCTCAGGGGTCAGTCTATCAGGACCTGCAGCTCGTCCTCGTTTCAGATTTCCTAACGCTTTCTCAACGTCATAAAGACTAGGGGGACTTACGTCGATTTGCCATTCAGGATGACTGGAGATCGTGGGTAACTGAAGAGTGGCTCGTGGCCAGTTGAACTGATCCCTAAAGTGTTCTGCCCATCGATCCAGCCTCCTGGATTGAGAATGGATAATAAGACCATCCTTTTCCGAGATAGTCTCACTCACATTCGGGTTCTTAATACCGGTTTCTTTGATAAGGCGGAAAAGTTGTCTAGTGTTGCCTATCGCCGCTGCCTTTTCCATCGCTTTTGCTTTCGCCACCCACCACTGTTCGCGATCGTTACGCAGACTTTTTATAAGTCTGCGCCTAAGCTGACTACGCTCTTCATCATGCTCAGAGTCAGGTGGGATGCGTTTCCGAGCATCCATCAGTTCGGTGGATGCGACTGAAATCCACGGCTTCATCCGAGCCTCATGGTTTACCTTCCTAGCAGATATCACTGCTGTTTCCACAGCCTTTTTGATATCATACCAACCTGCTTCTGGATGGGAATCGCTTGCATGGTCGCTTAACTCTCTTTCTAGTTGCTCCTGAAATATATTCTTGGTTTGATTATCATTAAGTAAAACCCTAAGAGGCTTTCTTACGGTGTCTTTCCTACGTCCAGTAAGCCTTAAACAGATACGAGCTCGCACTAGAGCATGATCTGAATCCAAACATGTGCTCCAGAACGAGCGACAGTCTTCTATCGAACCCCTCCATCGGTGGCTGATGGCGATGTGATCTAGTTGAGTCCAACGTTGAGACGACTTTGGAGGTCGCCAGGTCAACAGATGCTTTTCCTTATGCCTAAAGTTGGTGTTCGCTAAGAATAGGCGGTTATCTGAGCACAGTTGCAACAGACGGTCACCATTGTCTGTTCTCTCAGTCGCTACACCATAACATCCACCAAGATGTCTTTCCTTTTCACCTAGTCTACCTACTTGAGCATTAAAGTCACCAGCCATTATTACTATATCAGAGCGCCTAGCTTTTTGGAGGAGGTCCGAAAGCTTTCTGTAAAACTCATCTTTAACCTCGTCTGCACTGCAGTCAGTGGGGGCATAGGCAGATATGACGAAGAGGCAACGGCGAGTGTCCCTATCCTTACGAGTCCTTACTGTCCCGTTTAGTCGGACAGCGCACAAACGACTATCTACTGGGATCCAGTCTAGGAGAGATAATTCTGCCCTAGGACTCAACGCTATGCCTACACCAGCAAGACCCCTGGAAGCAGCATCAGGGCTACCGGATACCCGAAGAGTAAATCGAGCTGCTTCTTCGTTTTGACAAGGTGGAATCAGGTTAATGACTTTACTAGGATCCTGTATGCGCGTTTCCGAGACGCAGCATACATCGATGGCACGAGTTTCTAAAGTCCTAGCTAATGATGCCTGTTGCCCTATTTGACACAATGTCCGTACATTAAAAGCTCCAATATGTAGTCTAGAACGGGGTTTCAAGAGACCAGGAACGACGTTTCGTGATCTCGCTTCGTCTGCATTAGCGGTGCAGTGAGAAAAGGGAGTGTGAGTAGAGTTAGTTGTAGAGATAAAAGAGACATTAGGGGGTGTAGGAAGGATTTGATTTTGACCAATTTGGTCTCGCGTGCTGTTATGGGTATGAGGGCGGTTGTCACTTCCCGGCTGCCCACACCGTGGAAGGTTGTTTCTTGAGGGACCTGAAAAGGAAGATGGATTAGTGTTGGTGCGTGACCGCAGAGCCCAAGGGACAACTGCTTGAGGCCGGTCACGCACGGCCTTTTTATGAAAGGTATTTTGAGAATTAGCTCCGTTCTTAAAGGCCCTTAGTGGGCACCCTTACCCAAGGAGACGGAAATCCGTGAGTTAGGGGGAGTGTGACATTTTTAGGGCCGACCTTTTCTAACCCTTCCTTCCTTGTGAGAAGGCAGCATCGCTGCAGATGCTGGTTGTCCGAGGGAAACACCTTACTGCTGTCACACCCCTCTGCAGTCAGCAGTACGACTTCGCCCTCAGACCTTGGGTAGCTGCTTTTAGTCTCATCGTTCTCCAATCGACCAGCCTGGCATGGTAGGACCTGCAGGAACATATGTTCCAGCCAGTATAGCTCGGTTGGGTCATCACGATAGGCAAGCCCGACCACCACGTCAAGGTAGCAGCTTCGGTCGGGAAAGATAGATGGTGTTATAGTTCTCTCTCATTTTAACCCAGCCATTTCGAATGCTTAGTATTCTCGGACACCAATTCACTCGAGACGTTTTCCCAAATCAGAACACGGTTGAACAGGGAGATGATATTCCAATTACAAGGTTAGATGGAAGTATGAAGCTCAAAAAGAAAAAACGTTAGAATATTTCTGGTTTTTACATGAGAAGATTCTAGAATGTTCCCTTGGTATTGACTAGAGCCAATCAACGTGCAACAACGCAATCGTGTACGGAACATGCTTTAATCCAATCTATGTATCGCTATGTATTGCTACAAACCGTGATATTTTAAAAAATCGGATTCTGTCAAAACGATTGTCAAGTACCACTTGATAAACAAAATAAAATCTGAGACTAGCATATACTTGTAATAATTAGACAGTACACGAAGCATTTACAAGTTTGCTTATGTAAGAAAAATTTTTAACGTAACAAGATCATTTAAAGAGAAAATAAGAAGCTCATCAGTTAGTAAGTCATATACAACGTATAACGTACGTACGTACGTCAGTTTAGTTCGACATACCACAATAGCACAGAGATCAAGTTATCTATTCGAATCTCATAATGGTAGATGCATTGGAAGTATTGGGAGAAATCGGAAAGATTAAGGTTCGAACATATTATTGGATGCCCTGCTGCTGCTTCAGTAGCCTAGCTGGTGTAGGTATAGCACTGAGACCTAGTTGATGGTCACTTAAACGCTGTCCGACTCAACAGGACAGCGAGGACTCGGAAAGATAGGGTCACTTGCAGTTGCCTCTTCGTCGTAGCTGCCTACGCTCCCACTGACTGCACTTCAGACGAGGTGAAAAATGAGTTCTATAGAAAGCTTTCGGACCTTCAAAAAGCTACGCGCTCTGATATAGTTATAATGGCTGGTGACTTCAGTGCTCAAGTAGGTAGACCAAGTGGAGAGGAAAGACAGTTGCTGTAACTATGCTCACATATGCGACTATTCGTAGCAAATAATAACTTTAAGCATAAGGAAAAACAACTCTTGACCTGGCGACCCCTAAAGCCGGCCAAACGATGGACCGAACTAAACCACACTGCCATCAGTCATTGGTAAAGAAGCTCTATTAAAGACCACCGCACAATCTGGAGCGCTTGTTTATATTCGGATCATGCTCTAGTGTGATAACGTATTTGTGAGTCTTACCAGAGGCAGTAAAGACACCGCAAGGAAACCTCTTACTTTTTTACTTGAAAATATTTCAGGAGCAAGTAGAAAAACAGTTAGGCAACGATGTAAGTGATGTCTACCCTGAAGCAGCTTGGAATGATAACCAAAATGCTGTAGAAACACCAGTGATATCTGCTAGCAAAGTAAACCTCCAAATCGGGGAGAAGCAGTGGATTTCAATAGCATCTACTGAACTGATGGATGCTCGGAAACTCATCCCGACTGGCTCTGAACATGACGAAGAGCGGAGTCAGTTTTATCGCAAGCTGATAAGAAGTCTACACAATGCTCGGGAACGGTGGTGAATAGCGAAATCAAGAGAGATGGAAAAGGCAGCATCGATAAGAAACTGGTACTAACAATCTATCTGTTATCGAAACTGTCTGAGAAAAGGATGGTCGTTTCATTTATTCTCAATCCAGGAGATTGGATGGATGGGCAGAACATTTCAAGGGCGAATTCAACTGGCCTTCAGCCACACTCCGGTTACAGATGATCTCCAGTCAACCTGAATGGCGAATTGATGTGAGTCCTCCAACTCTTAATGAGGTTGAAAAGGCTATGGAAAATCTGAAGCGAGGTAGAGCAGCAGAGCCAGACAGGCTTACCCCTGAGATTTCTAGGTATAGTGGTTCAGTTTTAGCAGTTAGATTGACTGAGATCTTCCTCCGTTTGCTAACCAGAGGGCGAGTGTACTACGCAGAGTAGGAGATATTCATAGGTTTCTGGTTTTCAATCATAGATATCTCCGAATCACTGCTCATGTATCACGAGACAAGCCGAGTAAGCTATGTCACGATGAGCGATGTGGGAACAGCCAGTGTTAGAGAGGCTCATTAGGAGACTAGAGCTCATTCTGGAGCACATGTTGACCTAAGTCTATTGTGATAAAGAAAAGCTACAGTAAACAGACTCCTTAGAGATTAACTTAATGATCGAAAGGTCATGAGTGCCTTTCAGGCACTACGAAAGAAGTTCTTCAACTCTTAATGAGTCGGAAAAGAATTCAGTTAATCTGAGACAAGGGAGACCGGCAGGTTTAGGTGGACTAGCCCTGGAGATCTTTAGGAATGGCTGTCTGGTTTCAGTAGTTAAATTAACTGAGAACTTAGCTATAATCTGGAAAATGGACTCTACCACCGATTGTTTGTCACTGAGGCATATCAAAGTACATTAACCTTGTACTGGCTCCCTGCTCAAGCACTACTGGTGGAGTCGGAGCTTATGGAGAATTGTCATCGGAATTGATTGCTTTAAGTTATGTTCTTCAAGGTTGTCCTGTTTCTTCATTCTTATTTGACTTTGTCATAAACATGCTTCCACAGATAGCACTTTCGTCGTCTGACCTCCTACCAGGAGATCCATTTGTTGACTTAGGATACTCAGTGACATAGTTCTACTTGGTAGACACGCTGACAAAATGACCACGTTAAGCAACAATGCAATCATATTTGAGATGCTATCCTCCCCTTCTGAATGCACAATATTGCCTTAGGGTTGGACTGCGTCAGCACCGGAAACGATAAGGAGTGAGCTAACCGAGTGTGCTTGCCACTTCACTTATCTTGAAAGTCTCAATAGTGCTGATATCTGACAAAATCTCAGCACGGATTTAGAAAACCCCGTTGGTTTTTGTCAACTTGTGACGTAGGCGAGATGTCGGTTTGCTGATCAGCAATTCGCTCTATCCTATTTTATGGATGTGAAACATAATCATGATGTTTTGCGATGGAATAAGTTGGAAGAAACCTAGGGGTGGCCAAATAAAATGATGGTGCAAATCCATCAAGTCACTGACAACTGGATTCAGTCATGTTGGTAGGTATCGACTACCTGGGGCCTGAAAGTTGATGGTAATGGATGTTTAGAGATCTTGTATTATATGGCTCAAAATCGTTTGCATTGGTACAGGTGCATCCATTCTTTGTATTCTTTCAAATCTTGACCTTCTAAATCCCTAACCACCTATATATTTTTGTTTTTAAGTTTATTTGACTAGATTCTACTACTTGAATAATATCCTCGAACCCTGATTTTTCCGACTACTGCTTATACTTCTACAACCCCTACTACTATGGTATTTAAATTGACAATTGCGTCTTTCTGCTAATGTGATACGGGGACTTGAGCTGACGTACGTACGTACGAAGTTCTACGTTGTAACTGACTGACTGATAGGCCTATTCGAAGCATCGTTCGTGTATTTTGAGACCACGAGTCAGCGATGTCGATCTTCGAGTACTGATTAAAAGACGGAAAATCGATCAGTGGGGCAGTAAAGTCTCATCAAATAAAATAGTTGGGGCGGATACATATGCCGAACGAGCGCCTATTTCAACGGCTGATGTTGTCCAGCTTAGTAGGCTGAACGGAAGTTAGAGGTGGCCAAACCGAAACACGGCACCAGTCCACAGAGTCATTGACAACTGGACCGAGCCATGTTAATAGGTGTAGACTACCTGATTTTGCTCCATGTGATTATTTTGACCAGTGGTTAGAAACTCAGTGACATGGCTTGAGATCGTTCACAATGGCTCAGGTGTATCCACACCGTCTCTGCAAAATCATAAGTTTGTGAATTCCCAGAAAATTTTCATATTTTCCGCTCGATTAGTATCCTTGATTAATGTTTTCTGTTAGCACTAGAAATGTTACTACCTTGACTACTTTGGGATTTGCTCTGACGATTTTATCTCATGCTAATGGTGCATGAACTTACGTACTGGTTTGTTGACTTTTCTAAAACTAATATAACAGTCATAGAGATATGAAGACATTGCTTTCGAGTATATTTTGGATTATAATCATTTCGGATGATGAGCTGCAGTATATACCGTCAACTTCAGATATACCAACTACACAAATTTATATATTTTGACAATATATTTCCTCGGCACAATACCTTAAGCTGCCAGTAATTAAGCATGAACACAACGGTTTATTGTTAACGTTTATGAATTAATATTTTTGATCATAAGCAGTCTGTTAACAGCGGATACAAAAGTGACTTACTTCATTAAGTTAGCAAAGTTACAGTACCGCTCCAAGTGAACTGTACTTGTTTCCGGAAGATTAAAACAACAACTAACGAAATAAAGCTTTGAAGACTAGCTGAAGGCAGTTGGTTTCACATCTACACTAGACCATCATTTGATGTGCGATGTTATGCATCTCTCGCAATAATTAGTTGGTTAAGGTTACATATTTTTTGGACAGACTTACCATCTTTCAAATCAGCTCTCACAAAGCTTCGTTCTTAGCTCCTGATTTGCATGGATTCGAAATACGTGAGATTAAAATTTGTAAACAGCCGTTAAATCCTGTGTAACTACTCTTAGAACCAAGGTGTGTATCACAATGATTGTAAAGCATTTCACATCATCCAAATCTACAGGCTGACAGGTTGCTGAGTCCTGAACAATTTAACGATTCATATCAAGAACAGCCAAAGTGCTTCAACCAACTGAGTGTCCTGTACAAGCACCATTACACTTAAAATCTCACGGATATTCAGAGATAGACAGCTTTTGTGTCCGTAACACTTTTCAAATGAAGACTGGAACAAACGCAGCGTAACTAGAAGTTAAGAATAAGTAGATTGAAAAATTCTTCTAGAGATAATCTGAATGTTGAGAAGTGAGTGGTCTAAGCCAGCTAGTTGCCATAAGAGATGCAAAGTATGGAATATTCATGAGTAAGCTGATGCTGCGGACGAAGCTAGGGTCTGTCCAGTAGAGCAAATTAGATAGGCACCCATGTTGAAGACTTACACAACAATTTATTTTAGATGTTTGTTTATATCCACAAAATGATAGTTTACGTTTCTGCGTAAAACGTTCGTTTGGCATGCAGAATCTTGATCCGCTTCGTGCAACTGTGAAACTATTCCTGGTTATCGTTTAAACTGGGGTTTGGAATTTGTACTACTCAACCAAGCTTTGCTCTCACATCTCAACTGCCTTCGGAGCTACGATGCACATAGTGTTCGACAAACTAGGAGTTGAAAGTCTGTATATGTAACTCTGTTAGACACTCTTCCGATAACTTGCTTCTTCTGGCAGTATTAAATCATCTTTTTCTAAACTAATGAGTCACTTGGTACATATTGTAAATAGTCAAATAAAAACTTCGAAACTTTCTATGGCTTCCCTGCTACCCGCCTTTTCCATTCGTCGTGGAAAAAAGCGATGAGGATGAATTTTCATGTTGAAGTAATTACACTAAGTATTTGATGTAAGAAAACACACATGTTATAGAAACAAGGGAAAATTTGCACCCATAAGAATTCGACTGTCAGTACAACTCAAAAATCCAACCTGAAAATTGGTGTACCTTGTTGAAGCTGAGTTGCAACAAATAACTGGTGACTAGTTATCACCGCTAGTAAGGTTCAGAAACAAAAGTTGGTTCTGCCCCACAGACATGATAGGACTGAGGTAATTTATCCATCATCGTATTTGCTGTTCAAATACAGTATTCTTGCTATTTTAGTAATTTGAGGTTCCTATGTTCGTGATGTCTTAAGTGCCTTAATTTCAGTTATCTTCTGCAGTTCTTGCAGAAGTCAACTGTTTACTTCAAATCCAAACTAAAAAGAAATTAGACAGCTAATGCTTCTTTAAGGAGGCTGGTTTGAAGTGACTTTAGTTTGACGAGCAGCATTTTGCGTGGGTCATTAGGAAAACCTTAGTTAAATTCGAAAAACAGGAAAGATACCAGTAGCCCTTTGTCTTTTTTATGATTTTTTAATCACACATCGTTAAGTAGGCAAATATAGCATGACCTAGACCTCAGAAATTTAAAGTTAATAATTGGAGACGATATCGTTAACAAGAAGATTTTGAATTACAGCCTCATTAGATACATTCTCTATTACCTCAAGCACTACTGAGGTCGACAGTTTTCAACATCTGATGTCGGTTCAGACTTAATTTTGCGAGTGATAGATGCAGTATTTCAGGTATTAAAGTATCGTTCACAGAAAGTGATATGGTTGATAGTTCGAGAAATATAACACACAGGTCATCGCTTTCATTTTTAACATGCTAGTTTGGAAACCATCTGGACCTTCAGTGTTTTAATTGCCTTAGAAATATTTTGGACATTAAAGTCTTCACTGCTGATTCCACAGGAAGGCGTTAGCATTGATTCTGATTCAGCAATTCGGTTTTCGTTTGTCAGTGAGGCGCAAGTGTTCGCTTAATAGTTCGGCAGTACGTTTTCGGTCTGTGTACAATTGAGTTTTCCTCAGAAATATGCTCTCGCCTTTCGCCTGAGAGCATTTAAATTTATTTCGAAAGACCAAGACTGATACAAAGGAGCCATTACACAGTGCAAATGCCTTTTCCCTACTTAACGAATATTTTTGTCATCGTAACCAAGAGGCAGAAGTCAGAAGCGGTAAGAAATACTGTGACGTGTCTTCGAATACGTTTCTGCATAAGACCTGGTGTAAATAAATCCTCAGAAATCCTAGGTCCTTAGTTATATGATGATGAGGTTTCATTAAAGATAAAAAATATTTGTTAGTTAGTCGGTACGGTCTAGGATCCCTGTGGTAGCCCAACCTATGGTCTTTAGATAACTTTCGAGGTTTTAACGCAATCCATGCTGTAAGCATTCAACATATGACCCAGAGTGTTTTGCGGCAAAATTATAAAACAGGAAGTGTCAGATATGTTGAAGCCAACTTCAATAACCTTGTTAGTGAATGGTGGGGATGAAGCTAGTGTGAATTCGTATGATACTATCTGTATATTCTCTGCTGAAGGCTTATGCAGAATACTAACACAGCCAAACACAAAAGGCAACTGAGATCAAAGGTTTCAGAAATGTCAGCAAAGAATCTTATAGCTTGATTAGTTTTGTCAGATCACGTCGAAGTTATTCTAGGTTTAAGTAGGCCTATGCGAGCTAGTCTCTTCTTCGTCCCTGTAACCTATCATTTTGATATAGATAATTGTTATGTAGAGATATACTGAAATCGGAAACCATACTAGCAGTCAGTGTTTTAGGTATCATCATCGGTGATTGTTCATAAGGGGTGTGAACTAGGCATAATTTATCACATTAGCTAAGATCGATCAGACATTGATTATACATTTTAGACAGATAACACAGTAAGTTCAAATAGCAATAGTACGTCAATTAAAAAGCCATTGTGAGTTTCAGAAGTGTAACCTATTTTAAAAGCGAGGGATTATATGCTCTTCGGTTGTTCATTCTGTTGATAACAGGGGCTGAACGAGGATGCATTAGATGAACTAGTGAATTCGCTCGAAACTACTATTAAACTGGAAGACAGGGTTCGACAGAAGTGGGTCTAGATTTTGCAAGATTAATTTGGCTTTAGTGTAATGTTTAAGGCTTTATCTTTATTCAGAGCTCAATATTATGTCAGAGGTTCTAAATGTCTAGGTTATGGTTAATGTCTGTAAGAGAATTTTGCAACTGTATTATGTCACTACAACAGTGATCAGTATTTTAACGTATCGTATAAAATACTAGATGTATTTCTTCTACACTGTATTGTAAACTTATGTAGAGTAGATGGAGTACGGAGGGAAAATCCTCACAATTTGATTATTTTTTAACAAATGATCGAGTAAGTTCACGTCAATACATCAGTGAGAAGCAGTTACCGTAGAATAGTCTTCTGCAACATGGTCATAAACGAGACACTCAGGTAGGACGAAAACGAGACCTATCTCTTCTACACTAGGGTGACTTACACGCTCATTGGTGAGAACCTTCTACACGTCCCATGACCACGCAAATAGCTGTGCTGACATTAGATGATCACTGGTAAACAGTGAAAGACACCGTCCAAAATGCTGTCATATACAATTTACCTCAATCACACCACACACCTGGAAATAGAAGAACATGGGTTGGGCGCGGCGCTGGACGCTTTCTACATGTGAAGAAGAGAGCCTCGCACAAGTGGGAGGTCTCCTTGAAGTATTCTGATAATTATTCCTACTTGGCATTGAGAAACAGATGCAATATCAAATTTCGAAATGATAGGAGACGCTTTCAAACCAAGCTAGTTGTCCAAATACAGGCGAGGCCTAATCATCTGTTTAGGTTCATGTCTAAAAGAGAGGGGTTGTGTTCTCTCAAAGGACTGAATGGCGAAGACCTCATCAACCAAGAGATGGCTGAGATATTCAACACAAATTTCACTGATCAGTCAAACCAGGCATCCACGTGTTCAGAGTGCTACGCAAACCTAGTGCCAGCTGATAGCTTAGGGAATATCTCTATCACTCCTGACTTAGTACTAAGAAAACTAAAATTCTTAAGCCCGGGTAGGTCACCTGGTTCTAACAATATTCGCCCAATAATCTTGAAACAATGTGCAGAAGTCCTCTGTTCACCGATATATGACCAGTTAAGGCAATCATTGGAATCATACCAACTTCCAGCTAAATGGAAACAAGCTACCCTCTGACCGATCTCCAAAGGAAAAGATAGAAAGTGCTCAGCTTGTTACAGACCAGTCGCACTACAACCAATACTATCGAAGGTAATGGAATGGCTGGTGGATGAACAAATGAGGGAGTACATAGATAAGAATCAACTACTCTAGGAAGCTCAATACGGGTTTCGGAAAGGCAGGTCGTGTGCATCTAATCTTCTCATAGCATGGGAAAGTTGGACATATTGCTTAGACCGAGAAAATACCGGTGCACGTAATATTTCTCGACTTTGCAAAAGCCTTCGATATAGTACAACACTCAGACTTATTCGCGAAGGTTGCGGAAATAGGCTTCACTGACTCACTTGTATTTTGGCTCAGAAATTATCTTGAGAATAGAAAGTCTCGTATCAAGGTAAGTAGAAAGCACGCGAGTTGGCGAGTCTCAACACCGGGAGATTCACAGAGGACCACTTTAGGTCCACCTCTCCTCCTGTTATTCATTAACGACCTACTGGACACAGTTAGCTAGCCAGCGCCGATCTACGCAGGCGATGCAAAGATCTAGAGGTCCGTAAAGAGCGAAGAGGATCTGACTGAGCTCCAAAATGACCTTAAATCCATTGAAGTGTGAGCAGTGAAAAGCCGCTTAAAACTAAACTGGTCGAAGTGTCACGTTACGTACTTTCTCCCCCACATGACGCACCCTCATTTGAAGTCCGCTCCCTAGTGTCCCCTCAAAGTACGTTCTTTGTTTGATTACCACTGGAAGACCCCACACTAGCTCGGACGCAGCCAAGGCTATCGCAACTCTTCACTTTACGCGAAGACAACTTGGTGCCATCACACCATAATTATTCTTAACATTACTTAAGACATACGCGCTCCCACACCTGGAGGTTCACGTGATCACACCCCCTCTGCCTAAAAGAGACATAACTCTTTTGGACCGAGGCGAGAAACGAAATGGGTGATAGGTTTGAATAAAACTGAGTTATAGGAAAATCAGAGGTGATCTGATTATGGCATATGACATATTATGCACGCCAAACCATCCCAACATGAGAACCTTATCGATGGATTACCACCACATGTTCGAAAAATTGCGCATCAAAGAGCGAATAATCAGTTTCGTGCACACCTTTTGTCAATAATAGTCGTTGCAACTTGGAATGCTCTCCCACCCGAGGCGACTACAACCCTCTCAGTGGACAGCTTTAAGAAGAGACTTGATACACACGTACTCACACACGGAATATCTTCGCCCTCAAGGACCAGCTGAGCCTGAAGCATGTCTTGAGACTTGCTAGTCGTTATTATTGCTATCTCCTCAGGTCACTCAATTAATCTATCTCCCTCTAATCTCTGTTTTCTCTACCTTGCTCCTCTATCACAATCTTCACAACCAATTGATAGACAAAATGGTTTATTTATTTACTTAGTTCTGAAAGCTTATCAGCACTAGAATGATCTCCTTCTTACTCTCACATTGCAAATAACTGATCTCCGGTCTGGTAATGTGATAGCTGCTGGTATCCAGAAACCCTACTACCCGTAAACAAACGTATTCACTCACATGCACTCACCCAAACAACCATCAACTGACTAGAATTAGACAGTCGAGTGGATAAACCTCCATCCATTGGACATTACCAAAAACCTGGAACCTTACTCAAAAAACAAGGACGATCTCGAAGGAATCAATCTGTTGATACTAGCTCGTGAAAGGAATAATGGTTATGAGAATAATTCATTCATTACAAAAAAGAAAGGTGAACGAGTAAAAATCTACCAAAGTATAAGAACTTATTCAACGAGAGAAAATACTTCAGTGAAGTCCACCGGGACTAAAGCAACTGTATGGCTAGACTGCCCATATTAGAAGGTACAAGACTTTAAACAATACTGAGTTATTAGGAAATGAGAATTGAAAATTAATCGGTTAGAGCAAGCTTCAAACAAAGATTTAGTATATCAATATACTCATATTATCATAAGTAATGGAACTTTGTCGTTGAAACCAATTATGATACTTTTTTTAACTATGGATAACTACATAACGTGCATTAGTTTTTCGGGAAATATAAACTTATGGTTTTGTTTGACAGATTCAAAATCTAGGTCGTTTCTACAACTTCAGTAATGTTGAGTACAAGCGCGGAGGACGATTGGATTATTGGGGCGTCGGACGATGATTTGCAAAAAGCCATAATTGAAATACAGTAAACATAAATATTTTGCTGGGTTTTATCATAGTACAGAAGTAATATTTCTAAAGAGGCACTGGAAAATGAATGTTACGAGAGCTATTTTGGGAAACTGGATATTGAAATAGAGTTTGTAAAATATTTGTGGATACTTTTTATTACAATAAAGTGTTAGTAAATCTGTGCCACCTATAAGTAGAAGAGCATCATTGGTCAGAAAGCGTTCAAAAAGTAGGAGTTCTGCTACCGACAGGCTTGTCACATTGACAAATGAGCAGAAATGTCTTATACTACAGGCGGAATATGAGAACATCAAAAACGAAAACGAACAAAAGAAATCAAGTTTTGAAGAAACACTGGATTTGCAAAAAGTAAAAAATCTGTAATTTATGCTTACAGTCCTTTTACTCTTGACTAGGCTATCTTGGAAGAGTTGAAAGCCCGTCAAGAAGAAATCCAAAGGAATCATAACCTATTTTCCAAATTGGTAGAGAAAAAACTTGAGTCTGAAGGTATTAAGTTTGTTCCTGCTGAGAAGATCTTACGTTTTTCCGATGACTACTCAAAATTTCTTGTGAGTAGAGTTGGTTTAGTATACAATTTAAAACTTAATGTTCAGGTTTTTATGTGCAATAGATAGCCTAGGTTACTTGGACCAATGGATCCTTAACAGAAGTTATTCAAGTAGGCTGTACATGTTTATTCACCATATACGTTAAGACTTTCAAATAACTTTTCGGAAGTTCATGGCCTTATATTGTTCTTAAAAATGTCATTAATTTACAATTCTTTGAATCAGATGACAGTATGATATATTCGGAGATATGTTCAAGAAATAAGTTTTCATGAATCTTGGCATTAATTAGGTTTAGAATTTAGCATTCTGCTTCTTTGGGTACTTTTCTAATTTTTATAGCACAGACCAACTGTTAGTTTTGATGTGTAGTACAAATCAGTTTACACGATAAGGGTGACGGAGATATATTTTCGGGCCAGTAATTGTAAATGAAGACTTGAATCACAGAAATATGTAGTAATCACACCTGTGAATAGATTTCTTAGACCATAAATTAGCCCAAGGTTGTTAATTTGCATACAATGATCAAACGCTTAGTTTTTGAGAGAAATTAGACAGGAGAAACAGCTGAGAGTGTAGCAGTAAACAAAATGACATATCTGAGAGTTGTCAAAGTTGGAATATTTCTGTATAATCTAATCAATATCTCAATTTAAGATGTTTAACTGAGTCCTCTGCGCAGGAAATCAGTCGAATTCGGTTTGACGATTTCTGTGGGGAACAGAAAAACTAGGTCAGAGACATACCGTCTTGATAAGTTAACAAGTGTATGAAATCGACCCATTGTCAAGAGTACTCTCCGTAATCTCTAATAAATGAAAGATTGTAATATGAAGAAATCATTTTGCTTAGAGTAGAGTGGCTTTAACAACTTGACGGTATAACACAATTCGAATTTTTGTCATTGAGGAAGAGACTACAATAATATGAGGTATGAAAATTACCGCTTTAAGACTAGCTTTTCCGAAAGTGTTTTAGACAGAGCAATACTGGGGATAAACATCTGATTAACAATCAGAATACTTAGAATAATGAGTTAATTTAATTACATATAAATAACTTATGCTATTCTGAAGCTGTAGAGCACTACTGAAGTCAAATCACAAACTACGAGATATTAGGAAGGAGCAACATGCATAATTCAGCAATTAACTTATATTTATTAGTTAGGAATATGACCTATTGAGTTTTTAAATTTATGCCCATATTAATTTATTGGTTACTTCATGCTAATCAACAACAGTTCGGTACATTTAAACTTATTTACTGTTACAGTCCAGAATTCTTCTTTGTGCTGAGTCGCATCAGTCTTTTCTGTTGAACAGGTGACAAACAATATTATCCATAATAGCATTTATATCGTTAGTAGCAACATAACCATTTATTCAAGTCATTACAGAAGACATATTCAAAAACCTCCAAACTACCGATGTTGCGGAAGTTGTAGTATCACTAAACCGCACGTATCAACTGTTAGCTTTAACCGAAAACACTTAGTTGTCGAGTTGCGTATTTGAATTTGAAGCGTAATAATCAGTATGATATTAGGTCAGTCAGTCAGTTATAACGTAGAATTTCGTACGTACGTATATTAGTTCAGGTTGCCGTACCGTATTAGCACAGAGACGAAAATGTCAGTTCAAATCCAATAGTGGTATAGACAGTAGAAGAATTATTGCTAATAGATAAGATTAGGGTTAGAAGATATTACTGAAGAAGTATTATTCAGTGAGATAAATTTAGAAGGAGAAAGATAGAGGTCATGACGAATTCAGAAGATTAGAATTTCAGAGAATACAATGAGCGGATGATCTAGCGTCATTGCAAACGATTTTGAGCGATGTCGTTCAAGGCCTCTAACCGTCGGTCACTATCGTCTTGCAGACCCCAACCAGGTAACCTACATCTACCAACATTACTCAGTCCACTTTCCAGTGACTTCATGGATTGCTGCCATTATTTTGTCTGGCCGCCCCTAGCTTTCTTCCAACCTACTCCTACACCAAAAAACATCGCACGTCATCACCATACTCCAAGTCAACAAGCGATTTTTCCCGGTAGGTCTACTCCTGAAAATTCAGACGAAGAAAATGTTATATCTAGGAGCATGTCTATGACAAAATTGAACAAGAATGGAGAGAGTGGACATCCTTGACGGACACCACTTAAAGTAAAGAATTCCGGTGACAGTTCGCCATAAGCTCTCACTCGACCAGTGGTGTTCGAGTAGAGAGCCTGTATAAGGTTAATGCACGTCTTTGCTACACCTTTCAATGACAGACACTGTCAAAGAACCTCGCGATCCACAGAGTCGAGTGCCGCTTCAAGGTTGAGTTTGTCCTTGTTCTAGAACCTGACGTAGTGTGCATATGTGGTTCGTATAGCTACGTCCAGGTCGAAAACCAGCCTGGCTTTCTCGAGTCTGCTCTTCACGAGCTCTAGTTAGGCGTCGAATTATTATTGGGGTCAATATTTAGATACTGTATTAGTTAGACTGACTCCTCTGCGATTGTCACATGAGGACTTTTTTTTGTCCTTTCTGGTAAATTGGGACAATCAGTGACTGATACAAGTCGGATGGAATTACGCCCAGTTCCCAGATTCTACCTAAGATCTCAGTTAATCCAACTGTTAAAAATGGACCACCATCTTTAAAAATCTCTGACGTCAGTCTATCAGGACCCGCTGCTCTCCCTCACTTCAGATTTACTATCACTTTCTCAACTTCATAAAGACTACGGGGACTTATGTCAGGTTCCAATTCAGGATGACCGGAGATCTTGGGCATCTGACGGCCAGGTCAACTGCACCTTAAGGTGTTCTTCCCATCGATCCAATCTCCTGGATTGAGAATGAATAATAAGACCATATTTTTCCGAAATAGTCTCACACTCGGATTCCTAATAAGTCTGAATAAATGAGTACCGCCGCTGCCTTTTCCATTGCCACCCACCACTGTTCATGAGCATTGTGTAGACTTTGTCAGCCTGCGCCTAAGCTGACTTCGCTCTTCGTCATGTTCAGAGTCAGTCAGGATGAGTTTTCGAGTATCCATCAGTTCGGTAGATGCTACTGAAATCCACGGCTTCTCCCTAACCTTACGGTTTACCTTGCTACAGATATCACTGCTATTTCCACAGCCTTTCTGATATAATTCCAAGTTGCTTCAGGGTGGGTATCACTTACAGCATGGCTGCCTAACTGTTTTTCTAGTTGCTCCTGAAATATATTCATAGCTATGTTATCTTTAAGTAGAAACGTAAGAGGTTTACTTGCGATATTTTTCCTGCGTCCAGTTAGCCACAAACAAATAAGCACTCGCTATTATCTGTGAGCCATTGTCTGTTCTCTGAGCCGAAACACCATAAGATCGACACAGGTCTTGCCTTTTCACTTCGGCTACTCACTTGTTCACTGACGTCACCAGCCGTTATTTTTACATCACAGCGCTTAACTTTTTAAAGAAGGTTATAAAGATTTCCATAAAACTCATACTTTACATACTCTAAGCTGCAGTCAGTTGAAGCATAGGCAGATACAACGAAGAGGAAATGGCGCGTGTCCCTAACTTTCCGAGTCCTTAATGTCCCGTTGAGTTGAACAGCGTAAAACCGACTATAAACTGGCATCCGGTCTAGGAGAACTAGTTCTGCTATACCTACACCAGAGAGAACCCGGGAAGCAGCATCAGGGCTTCCAGATACACGAAGCGTAAATCGAGTTGGTCTCTTATTTTGACAAGGTGAAATCAAATTAGTGATTTACTAGGATCCTGTATGCGCGTTTCCGAGAAGCAGCACACATCGATGGCGCGAGGCTCTTACGTCCTAGCTAAGGAAGCCTGTTGTCCTATTTCGCACAGAGTTCGAACATTAAACGCTCCAACATATAATTTAGGACGGGGTTTCAGGAGACCAGGAGTAACGTTTTGTGAACTCGCATCGTTAGCGGTGCGGGGTGATAAAGAAATGTGAGAAGAGTTAGTCGTGGAGATAAGAGAGATGTTGGGGGTCCTAAGAAGGATTTAATTGTGACCGATTTGGTCTCATGTACTGTTACGGATATGAAGTCGGATGTCACTTCCCGGCTGCCCACACCGTGGAAGGATGTTTCTTGAGGAACCTGAAAAAGAAGGTAGATTAGCTTCGACCATAGAAACCTGATAGCGTGACCACAGAGCCCGAGGGACAACTGCTTGAGGCCGGTCACGCACGGTCTTCACTCTTGTTTGAAAGGCCGTACCGCCGGAGACGGAAATCCGTGAGGTAAGGTGAGGTGTGAAATTTTTAAGGTCGAAATTTTCTAACCCGTTCCTTCCTTGTGAGAAGGCAGCATCGCTGCGGCTGCTGGTCGTCCGAGGGAAACACCTTACTGGTGTCACACCTCTCTACAGTCAGCAGTAAGACTTTGCCCTGAGTGGCTGCTTTTAGTCTGATCGTTCTCCAATTGACCTGCCTGGTGTGGTAGAACATACACGAACACATGTTCCAGCCAATATAGCTCGGTTGGGTCATCACTATAGGCAACCCCGACCACTAAGTCAAGATAGCAGCTACGGTCGGGATGAAATCGGGAAGTTTCGGTTTTTCAAAAATAGCATATATATAACTTCTGAGGCAGCATTTTCAAATACCATGAAATAGCTGACTCATCCTTTTCGGTTAATGATTAAAAACAGTCCAACACTTACAAAAACCCCAGTAGAATGCACATATGAGTGAGGTTCAAATTGAACAAGCACTACATTCGCATTATTACATCGTTAGACTGACAGACCACTCCAGAACTAATAATATAGATCAGTAATATAGCAATAAACGTCTAGGTTGAATATAATGTAACAAATAAAACGTGTTAACTAAGTCTGTACGTGACAAAAATATAAATCTAAACACATCCAGTAGACACACTAAATAAGGATTTCCAAAAGGTAATTTAAAAATAATCGAATGTTAACTGTTCTGTTATATTTATGAATGGTTAACTTTTTAATACTGTATTTATTAAAGGACACTTTGTCGGATAAACTTCGTTTGAAAAATAGTTCTATCAAAAATTCTTTGAAGAAACTGAAAGAACAACTCAGGCAAAAGGAATCTGGTGAAGTGTTAAGTGCAATCGACTTTGAACAGATGAAAATAGAAAATACCAGATGCCTTGCAGAGATTGATGAAAAGAATCAGAGCATTCAAAAAATGAAAATAACTGCTGCAAGAACACTTCAATTATTGAATGGATACAAAGTAATATTTATTGATGATTAACAGTATATTTCATTAGAAAAAGTTAACTGACGCACTACAAGAGGAAAAATACATTAAAGAAGAACAAAACCAGCGTCGAGAAATGCAGAGACGCGTGGAAAATGAGACTATCGTAGCAAAGCAGGTACCTTTTCTTATAAATAACATTTTAGTCCATATATATCATAAAAAATATTGCTTACAGTAACTTTGAAGGAGCGCTAGTCAGGAATTCCAAAAAAGTAACCCTTAAATAACGTATGGTGCTGAACAGTATGTATACGACATAAGATTAGGAAAGCTGGGCAACAAATATTAAGCAGTAAAAAAGTTACGGTTTTAATTATATAGTGCATAAAGCAATTTAGAATCCCTACTGAAAATGTGAATAATAATAATTTACTTGTTACTAAAGCTTAAAACCTATATAGCAGTATGTGAAATTAGGTTGCTGACAATATGTATCTCTTTCGTAATTACATGCACTTAATGGTAAAGTAAGAATGGATGCTGTTCATAAGCGCTGAAAGTGATAAGTACATAGTACATTACAGTAGTTTCGTCTAACTAACTGAAACAACCATGTCTTTAAAAGGGAAGATCGGTGGCTCGACAAGCGCTTGGTTGCTTATGATGGTGTGTATGCCAGGTCAAGGAAGTTTTTCCATATTAATATAATCGCATATTGAATTAGGTGAACGCAATGACAGACGATTTACTTTCCTTTTTTTTCATGAAGGAACTAAAATTGGAAAGGACTCTTCATGGAAAATTCGAGGACCAGATCTCATCATATCGCGTACCGTCTGTAATAGGTTTTGTTAAACTTGTTAGCGAAGAACGTGATTTAGCACGCAAACAAAATATATACTCTCGAAGACTAAAGATAGCAGAAGTAAGTCACATTTCCGAAGTTGAAAATGACAAGTACTACAAGATGAATAATTAGGCTGAAAATCCAGAGTTTTATATTATTACTTGTTAACACCTGGCATTAGTTTTATTGCTTATCTACTGACACATTTATATGAAGCATAACCATGGGTTATTACTTCTTTGGGCATAGACATGAAACTTCCGTTTCCAAGGATTAGGAAATATGATGATTAATAATGACAAACACTATTAAAAATTTGTATACTTGAAAATTATTAGTAAATATCTGCAGATGAACAAGAAGTGGCATATTGGGAAGATCAGAGAAATGGTAAATCCTAGGACTGATTTATAGAATACCATTGTGTATATACTTATAGCATAATTGTTCTGTAACCAGACTACTTATTAATATTCCTTTTGTCACAAGCTCTTGATTACCTAATTTTGTATGGTTTGCCATTCTTAAACTTCTCTTACTTTACCATTCCCAGACTTTCCTATCCACAGTCAATTTTGGCTTCTTCATATACGAATGTATTCTCTTATTCTATGGTCTGGTATGTTTTGTATATAAACTATGTCTGCTTGAAATATAATGAATGCTGTGGAGGCTCGCTTATAGACTTCTGGACTGAGAGGTACAGAGAAACCAACTATCGAGTTGTGGACCACTAAAAACTTAGAGCTAACTCACGGTTGCTCGTGCAAAACGTAATGCTTCCTGATGTTTTGTATTTGTCGCATGACACCGGTCGGGAATACAATGGTTAGGTTAACAATAACCCATCCCATGCTACAATACAGCATATAATTATACCAAACTAGCAATGCTTGAGTACTGTTTCAAATTAATTAAATTGTGTGGAGCATAAACATTTAAGGGCCTCTATTTACCAGTGTTTGTGTTTAAATAAATTAATTGAGATAGGTAAGTAGGAACAAGTAAATGGAGATATATCTATTTACATTGTTTTGAAGTAAAAATAATGATCAACTAACTATTGAACGTCGATAATAATAGTCTAGTTCTAAAACTGAAATCCACACCAGTAGATGTTTATGTTTACGGTGAATGTATAATATTATTTAAAAATTAAATGGAGATATGTAAATTACAATTCTACATAAAAATTTCTTCAAGGTGGCACTGCGTTGTCAGAAGAAACTCTGGTTGCAATTTCAACGTGGTGGTGGCAACGAACTAATGTAACGATGAAGAGTCACAGACCAGTCTCATGGCTATTCTTGAAGAGGAAGTAAATTAAGATGATATTTATTTACCTTAATAAATAATATATGAAATCGCAATCGATACTCCTTTTTTCTGTTTGAAAAGTTAGGTAAATTGTCTAATAGAGGAATGTAATGCGAATACACGGCACATTATTTTTAATAATTCCTAAGGAACAAAAGCAATTCAACAACTAATCACAAAAACTTACAATTTAGCTTGTTATGCAAGTAAATGACTTCCAATGTTAGGTGACTGTAAGACGCGTAATACAGCGATATAAGAAATCAAATAATAATGAAGAGTTCAAATAAGTATTTATTTTCATAAAAAGCCAAATTCATTACAAAACAGAATATACTGAAAAAAAGGCAATCAATTTAAAAACAATATAATGTTTACAATGATTTCATGTTCATAGATGATCACAGATAAGTCATAGTGGTAAGTGAGCTAGAAGAAAATCAATTAAAATTTATGGTATTAAAAATACAGCTAAAATACAGCTAAAAATATTAATAATAGTGTTAAAACAGATAACTGTATGAAGGTCAGTCATTTACAAGGCAAAAGTGCGTACGTAAGTACGTACGTCAGTTCCAGTTGCCGTACCACATAAGCGTAGGCATGCAAATTTCTTGCGCCATCGATGTATGCTGCGTCTCGGTAACGTGCATACAGGATCCTAGTAAAATCATTAATTTGATTTCACATCTGTGGTATGTGAAACTGAACTGTTGTACTTACGTACGAGCAATACTTCAGAGATACCTATGATCGAAAACCAGTAACCTACGAATATCTTTTACTCAGACTGGCCATGTTTCATAGCCATAAAGTAGGGCGGAGTGAACTACTGAGCAGTACACACGTCCTTTGGTTAGAAAACGGATATCTTGCTTAGCTGGGAAAAGCCAGTCGAGTCTTCTGTATCCGTGCTGAGATTTTGTCCGTCACCAGGCCATCAGCACTGATGAGACTCTCAAGATAAGTGAAGCGGTCAAAACACTCAACTGCTTCACTCCCTATCACTAGTCCAGGTACCGACGGGACACAAACTTGAAGCAACATTTTGCATTTCGAGTGTGAGAACCGCATTTCGAACATGCTTTCATTGTTGCTTTGGGGGGTCAGAAGACTCTGCATTTTGTCAGCGTCTTCACCGAATAGAATCAAGTCATCGGCATATCCTAAGTCAGCAAGAGAGCCTCCCGGTAGAAGGTCTACGCCTGAAAATTCAGACGAAGGTAATGTTATATCTAGGAGCATGTCTATGACAAAATTGGACAAGAATGGGAAAGTGGACATCCCTGACGGGCACCAGTTGAAGTAGAGTATTCCAATGACAGTTTACTCGACCTCTCGTGTTTGAGTAGAGAGCTTGTATGTGAATTGAGGAGGATATTCGTAGGTTACCAGTACTCGTTTATAGGTATCTTCGGAACATCACTTGTGTATTTTCGGATCAACGAGTGACCAACACTGAGGTTTGGTATAGGGTACTGAATAACGATGGCAAATCGATTGAAGTAGTTAATTATCATCCATTGAAGTGGTTAAGGTATACGTACTAGAGTTCTGAGTATTAAATCCGGATTGGAACAGGATGAATGATACAATATCGTTTCGGAAATGTATTTATAGTCCTATACTAATCAGAAATAGGACTCAGAAAAAATGAGGAAATCTATGCTTTTAGAGAGATTCAAACCACGGTTGAAGAAGTTATTCCCAGGCTATTCAGACAAAAATCCGGAGACTACGTATTTCAACCAATCGATCTTAGAAATATAACATTAATTTCTTGTAAGCCGATATTATGTACTAAGAATATGAATATATCAATGAAATTTTGTAATAAAATCTTACAATTATATTTGCCTCGCGTATGAATTTCCAATCCGAAATACTGACCATTTATTGACACTTAGTGATGAATTGATTGGTAAAGAAGTCAAGTTCAATTTTGTTTTATTTTTGGTGCCAGAAATGCATGGTAAGAAGGAAAAAGTTGATTTGGTGTCGTTTTTTTCTTCTTTTGAGATTGATTTATTACCTTTCAACGTTTCAACTTGTGCAAATGAACTAGACCCAAGTATAGGCGCATACAGATGATATGTAGATGTAATCGTATCCGTAACATTACGACTCAATTTTGAAGAGCACACATTCCAATCAAAAGGATCAACAAGTGTTTCTAAACGAGATATGAGTTCTTGAAACATTGATTGAATGAGTTTTGACGATGTATCCTTTTGATTTTTCTTTAGAAATAAAAAGGATATAATGGATAAAAAAATGTGTGGGGAGAATTTCTTAAAGCAATGCCTCAATTAAAGCGGTTCTAGGAATCACTATTTCAAACTGTAATATTGCCCTAACGGCTTTTCGACTACTACTAACTGTTGTTAAAAATAGGTCTACTGCGCATAGCCGTCAAACGTACGTACATCAGTTCAACTAATCATACCACATTAGTGCAGACGGATGAAATTGTTAATTCAAATCCCATAGTGGTAGAGGTAATAGTAGCAATATTGGCGGTGATCGAAAAGATAGATGTTCATTACGGAAAGACTAAAATAAAGTGCAGTCGTTCCAGTGTTACTACGGATTACAATTAAAATGATTTATAATTAGTTTAGTAATGAGCCAGTCAGTCAGTTACAACGGCCGGCATACTCAGTGAATTTAAAACAGCTCTCAGATTACAAGCCTTTGACGATCTACACAGTGAAGAGGAAACTACCATGGAGAACGACTGGAAAAAGCTTATGTAGAATACTAATAACGGTAATTCAAAAATTAATTCAAAACCACACAACATACATATGAATATTTATTCAACTTGCCTGAGCAAAACTAGCTTCACTAACAGAAATAGACGAAACTAATAAACGTTGGATAAATTTTAAATCGAATATAATTTGTAAAGCTCGCGATTGTATCGACTTTTGCAAAGAATCAGGAAACCATAAGGATGCATCGTCTGCGTATTGAATAGAGATATTTTGGTGTGACTGTAATTCGTCGACAATACTGGAGTATACTTCAAACAACGTATCGCAAACTCTAGACAAATATCGATGACTAAATGGTGATCTATAAAATGATAGAAGAATGGGATGCAGATTATTAGCTATATGTGAGGGTTGCGGTGTGAACGCTGAGTTTGGATTACTCAAACAACACATCTTCATTTGTCATTTTGCAATGAATTATTGATCGTTAAGTAAAGCAGTGGGGATTCAGTGTTGCGGTAGAATTTAATCACCTTGAAGTTATGAAGATTGATCATCAAGAATAAGCGTGTTATTATTATAGAGTTGATCTGACGCACCCAACTTGTCAACCCTTAGCGGTACTAGTTTTTCCGGAAAACATTCCGATATTTTTATCCATTCGATTTTCACATGATTTCATGATAGGTACAAGTTTTTTTAATTACGAAAATGTGGAAAGCTAAACTACTAACGATAAAAATTAAAAGCTTATGGTTTACATTACGGACTTATATTAAGTAGACAACCAGCGGAAATTAAAAAGCACTAGACAGCGATTTTGTCTGAATAGTAAGAGGTTGATTTCTTAGGACAGGGAAATACGCTTGTAGGTTACAATAAGATATGTTTGACATTTTATTTACAGTTATTGTATTGTATTAACTGAATATTCACTCTAGTTAGGAATCTTCTCCTGATTGATATCCATGGTTTCAACAGTATATATACTGTACTAATATATTCTATACAAAGTAACTGGGAACAAGTTCTATTTATTGTGTTGAGATACAAATAATGTGTGGAGGTAATACATACTTTTAACTTGTGCAAACTAAAGTGAATCGATGTGAGTTTCCTCAATCATACACTAAGCCTCTACACCACTAAAAGATAACTTTACACACTATAGAAACTACAGAACGATAGGTGTTATAAGTTAGCAATTTTGAGAAGCGACTGTGATAACAGTATACTGATATTTCTTTGGAGAATCGATTCAAATTATTGAGTAGTTCGTTGGATTCTTAGGCTTTAAGTGTTCAGTTTTTGAAGTAGGATATAACTGCCGTTTTAATTAATATACTCCCCAAGGCCAAACTTATAAATGACAGTTTACATTTCCTAATATTTCGAATATGAAGTATACGTAAGTGTTTCCTACATGATTTCGAGCTATCGCTCAAATTCACAAACTAAATGGAATATAAAAGTGACAAAAATATACAAAATCGAACAGTACATATAAATAAATATGAAAACTAACTGATAATTAATGCGACAGAAAAGCACTCACGGAAGTGATTGGTATACGAGCAATTTTTCGATTGTGTAAACAATATTCAAAAGTAAATGATGGGTTGGTAGTGAAAGTTGTGAAGGTATGCGAACAACAGCAACTGAATTATGATCGACATCTTCTATCGGTTCAGAAGAATGTAATTCAAGTTGGAATTCTTCAAAAGCCTAAGAAATAAAATGGAAATGTTCATAAAAAACTAAGCACTGAACTCACTAAGAATCCAACAGTCAATCTAAGGTACTATTGGCAAATATTTATGATATACCTGCAGTAAGATTTAGTCACAAATTTAACAGGTCTCCCTATGATTTACACGAACAGTCAACAACTCGAAGAATTAGCATCAGTTTTTTTATTTGACTATTAAAAGATACTTAAAATGCAATTCATATCCAGAAATTTTCTAAAAATATAGCCCAGTTATTTCAATTAACAAAATATAACGGTAGTACGTATTATATTGTTTATTATTTTAGAGAATATACATCGTTTGCGATTAATACACCCTCGACACCATAATAATGATAAGTGTAACTTAATAAGGCTATCGTACTTGAGTTATATGACAAAATATTTATGTGTAGATTAGTGGAAGTTACTGAAGTTATAATAAATTGAATCTATACATGGTTATATTAGTAAGGGTTGGCAGTTTCTTTATCAATTACCACTATTTATTATGTAAAAGTAATAATGAACAGACAAAATACAAAGTAATGATTGTTTACTCACTATTATACCACTCAATATAGCATCTGTGTTAGTATATTTCATTAAGAGATTTTCAACCTTATTTTTATCAAAAACTAAGTCCAATTTTGTATCATTTTTAAGTTCACCATCAGTATGTTTGACATTGATCAAAAAAGTTGAACGTAAACTATCACGAAATTCTTCAAGAATTGTATGCCCAACTGTAGCTTCCAACAACGAATCGAATGTGATCTGGTTGATTAATTCAAATAGAGAATGACTCAATGATTCCCATTTACAACGCAGCAGTGAAATATTTGTCCATACTAGACCTTCTCTAAGTGTACAAAAAGTGAAAGAAAAAATACAGGAAAAATCATGACTGTTAGATAGACTGGATATAGATAATCTATAAAATGACGCTTCGATAACATAAGGTCAATGCTTAGTAAGCATTTGAATACTTCATACGATTTTCGCTTTGATTCTCCTGTCTATGCATTAAAAAAGTACATCATATAAACGATTACAATCTGACACAGTATGAATTATATCGGATTCTTATTAAACATTGCTTCAACACCTTCGAATTAGATAAATCTTTTGAATATAGAAAAAATTAACTGAATGAACAGCTACAAATGATCATTTTTAATCTAATATGGAACGAATAAGACGAAAATTATCTAGTTTTTAGCAAATTACCAATCGGTTTACATAATTACATACGTCTCAAAAGAAGTATGCAACCGAAAAAATGGAGTAACAATATTCCATACAACAACTTTGAAAGTCCTATATGGTAGACCGGTCTTTTTAATAGCTTACAGAACGATCCGAAGCAGAACAACAGACTAAGTAGGTTGGTAGTAACAAATAAATAACCATTTTACATATTTGGTAAAACAAAAAATCCGTACCGCCAATGACCAGGAAGAAAACGCAAATGAGTGATATAAAACCAGAAAAGTTATAGACTACGATGGCTATGTTAGATAAATTATAAATAAGTTATACGTTGATGACTGACATAAAACTACCGATCAGTAGTTGGATTTAAGTCAAGGTTGAGTTGGGTGGGCTAAGAGATAAGATTTATAGTTAAATTTTAATTTCCTCATGTATTTGTACCGACCTATAACAACAAAGCTTAGAGTAGGAAATCAGCTAATTGATTGGCAATGAAACTTGTGATGGAGTTTCATTCTGCGAGCTGGACGTTTTGGTTGTAGAGCTTCCATTGTTTTTCTTAACAACATTATCAGCACAAACTTCAGGCAGAGGTGAAGTGTTGGAATAAATCCACGTATGACCCGTAGCTGGTTCTGTTGATCTCGATCTTGACTGGCTGTTATTGATCTTAAGCCTGTCGTTATCTGCACCTTTATTTTGAAATGAAACTATTAGGGATAACATCATTGATTAGGAGCATAAACATTTTAGATAGAAATGATGACTAATACTGAACGAAAATCTAGCTTTTCAACTATTTATTAGAAGAGGAAATCATACATAGCGTATTGAGAAAAGGCACATTATATACTGACGGCCTAATATGACGATCATATCTATCGCAATGGGTTGGAAATTCATAATATGTTCGAAAATCGGATGTTGAAGTAACGTATTTGCACATAAAAATTGTAGTTCGAATAATTTAGCATCGTCAGACTTATTCGAATCACTTACAAATTTTTGTCCTAAGAAAAAACTAATGTTCTTACTACAAGGCATCATACTGAATGGTCAACTTCTTTCATAAAGAATTAAAAGGAGTAAAAACTTGCAATTCAAACGAGTTGTTGTAAACTATTTAGTTCTACGTATGACATCAAATCACATGAACATGAAACGTTTCTAAAGTCGATTTTTTTTATAGCGACTATAAAAAACTCCACTCTTTTTCAAAAATATCTAAAAAAACATATCAAAATTATATCTCCCATACGTGGATGAAGTACTGTCGACAGAATTTACTAAACTATTAGAATTCTTGACTCCAGAATGTACCGGATGAGTTGACTCAATTTGTCCGGTAGCCGCAATCGCAGCTGCGATAATGGAGGGACAGCAATCTACTAAAGCATACCATGCACGTGAAAGAAGCATACCACATGATGGATGAACTTTTAAAGGTGCTGAAATATTTGTATAATTATCCTCCAAACATTGTTTTCCATAGGCTTTATTCGCTATCCAATTTCCTAACCTAAGAGGAAGTGAAAAATTGTGAAGTAAATGTTAGCTTTTTGTTTCAAATAAAACCAATGAGAGAAGCAAAGTATTACTAACCGAAACGCAAACACGTTCAAAAATACTAACTTACATAAATTGAATGTGTGGACTATAAATGCAATCACATCTAAACTACTTGAACACAGTTGAATAGTACTGGGCGTAATCCTATCTGTCTGTTCTCAATCACTGATTGTGACAATCACAGAGGGATCACTTTAATAAATATGGTGTATAAAATATTAGATTCAATAATACTCCGACGCTTAACTGGAGCTCGTGAAGAGCAGACTAGAGAAAACCAGGCTGGTTTCAAACCTGGGCGTGTGAATGTATAGACCACGTATTTACTCTTCGTCTGGTGCTGGAACATAGACTAACATTGGTAGTAGTAGTATTTCTCTACCTTGAGGCGGCATTTGACACTGTTAGTAGGAGTAGACTACCTGGTTGCGTTTTATGAGACGATAATAACCGACGGTTAGGGATCATGAACGACATGATTAAAAATCGTTTGCGATGGCTCAGGTACATCCATTCTTTGTGTTCTCTGAAATTCTAATCTTCTGAATCGCTCATCACTTCTGTCCTTTTCTTTCTGAAGTTATCTTACTGGATTATACTACTCGAGTCATATCTTCGAACCCAAATCTTCTCCATTACTGCTAATACTTCCACTATTGCTACCACTGTTGGGTTTGAACTGATAGTTGCGTCTCTATGCTAATGTGATATGGCAGTCTAAACTGATGTACGTAAGTACGAAGTTCTACGTTGTAACTATCTGACTGATATTACAAGTTTATTTGAACTATAAAATGTAAAACATGATTCAAACAAGAAAGCCATTGGTTTGAACTCATCAGAAACTAACGAACTTGGAAATAATCCTTACTGTTTTAATGATTTTTCTAACGCCGTTAATACGAGCGACCAGATGTTAAAAGAATCCTGACCAACGTTTGAAGTTAATTTGATTATATGATTTGAGATAACCATATTCAGTTTTTCGCATAAGCTGAAAGTAAGGGTATGATTTGGCAATTTCAAATAAACTGAGTGTTAGATAGATTGATAACAATGAAGTATTTATAATATTCCAATGATGTGAAAATTAAATTTCTGAAGTTTCGCGACGTTGTGTTAAACATTTTTTAAACAACTTTTAGAATAAATAATGAATGAACGAGCATTCAGCTATCAAACAAAAAATCAGTCTTAAAATAGTTATGATCTTGCATTATTATTTGCCATGAAGGTCGATTTTCTAAACAAGTGCAACTTGTACTGTTCAATTCCTTCATTGCATGCAAATATTCTGACAATAATTGGTCAAATAGCGACAAACTGTCAAATAAACAATACGCGATATCTTAGTTACTCACGTAAAAAGAGCGAGACATTGTTCACATTGATATTCAGCAATGTCATAGTAAATTGCACTACTGTAAATACTGGACTCATGATTGTACACAAAACTTTTATAGTTAGTAAGCACGACATTTATTAATGACATCAACATTCTTCAAAATTAAAAAAAGATGAATGGTAGGTAAGTAAAATCAAGTGTTCGAATAAATCAGTGTCATTTTCTACACTAATATAGTATGCTATTGGGCGATTAGAGAACCTATCCAGCACTAGATTGCTCGACAATACTACAGTGGTATGCATTATGGTTTGTGGAATTCGAAGATACGTACAAACTACATATTTTTGATTGTGTCTTCGAAGTTGTACTTCTGGTAAGCGATGGAAACACAAGCGTCAGCCAGTTTGTTTTGAATTTTAAATCGTGTAGACTGGAATCGAAGTTTGTTGAAAGGAAACATAAAATCTTTTGGATAAATCCAAGCACAAAGATGACTTGTCGAATGAAAGAGATACAGCATAATTTTTAAATTTCATGGAATTTTTTCCAAGAGCAAACTGGAAAGACTATTTTCTGCTGTTATTGGTTTTCCTATGATAAATACACTGTACGAATTACTTTTTCAATTCATGAATGGGAATTTCCTTAATATCATGAAATTATTTATATATTGAAAAATATTTTTATCAATAATTTCGTCAAACTGGTGTGTCATGACGACTAGTAGTAGTGTAGTAAAGGCAAATAATGTCAAAATATAAAAATACCGTCTTTAACATTCCAAAAATTAACTAAGAAATGAAGAATACTGTAAGAGATTAATCTTCTCACAGGAAACTACACTTTCAAAACATTACTTTCTATCCTGTAAACTTTTTATGAGGGATCAAACTACTATTTTGTGTTTCTGAATTAGAGCGCAATCACCGAAAAGTTTTCTTTCGGAAGAATGAAACCTTTCTAAAATGTGTATACCGTAATATGGTTTAACTACAGAACGATTAAACAAATCTACTGAAACTGATTCATAAATCTCGACCTTATGATTGGTTGCACTAAAAAGTATACGAATTATAACATGGTGGACGGAAAAATCTGCTCACGTTTATATCTCTTAACCTTTAATCAGAATGAATAACTCGTTATTGTTTAAAAAAGTAATTGATCAGCAGTATTTATTGATTTTTATTTCATGGTAAATGTGCAAAGTATGATAAAGTGTAAACAACCTAAGTTCGACCATTTATGAGGTCATGTGTGAGTAAAACAGATACTTAATGATTCTTGGTTTTCAGTGGTTCTCTGAATGTTAGTGGTGGTAATCAACTATGAGTTAAACGATCTCTACCATTTCTTTATATCAATAATACGAGAGTTAAGTTATTAATAAGTCAAATTGAAGTGAAAGTGTTATGGAATCTTATCAGACCTGGTAAACAGGTGGCTAATGAATGTTAGATACAGATACTTATGTCACTGGGTCGTATAACGAGACGTTAGCCTGTTAATGAAGAACTGAACCTATTGAGCATCATCCCTGATCCATATTGTTTTGTCACTGTGAAATATGGTCTATTAAAGTAGAAGGTATACACATGCTGCTTGTTTTTGAACACAAGTGTTTTCGAAGGACTACTCATGTATCATGAAACAACTGATGATTGGCCGGTGCTAACATTAGATACGGGTTCGTAGGCAAAAATAGAAAATTGGATAATAAGACTATTAATCTTCGACTGAGGTGTCTGGAATAGGTCACAGACGTCCAATCACCACCCACTTCGATATGCAATATTAACTGGAGTATGAATAGGTTGGAAAAACACTAACAGTAGACAATCCAAAATGTGGCTGTTTATGAAGTTACTCACTGTTATATTGATGACCGTTGAAAGGTGTGGGTTACTTAGTAAGGGTCGCCGCAATAACTACGATAAGCGGTCGGAGACTGGTTGACATGGCTGGACATCAGCTACTGTGTTGCGAATGTGTTCAGTGTTTATTATTTCGTAAAGCTTGAACTCGAAAATCATTTCATACATCTTATTCCTCGAATTCATTTCTTAATTTACAAATAGTATTCTCTGATATTTAATTTTTATTACTGTTCTTGATACCGCTATTATTTAGACTTTCTTGACATTCATCTTATCGATTTCATTTTACTGTGTCAATATGTATCGGGAATTCGCGTTGATGAACGCTTGTGCCAAGTCCTATGTTTAGTATGACTGACTGATCACTAGAATCTGAAGCACATGTCACATTTTCTTCCGAATCGGACACATAAACATACTTGGATTTTCATGAGCACAACTGTTCAGATTGAAGGATGAACTCAACAACCATTACGTTAGTCATAAAATACTTACCAATTAGAAGTGAACCCCTACAGAAATACACGATTAAAATTATATGTACACAAAATAACTTACGTTAGTAATTCAGGCAATAAAACATGAAGCTTTTTTTGTAGATCAGTGTATCCATTTAGTTTTATCCCAGATAATGGTGGGGCATTTTCATTGACCAATCTTTGCAAAAATACTAATGATTGAGCCGATGATGTTAAGTCATGTTCATTTTCATTTTCAATCAAAGCAAATGAATCAGGGATCGGTGAATGTGAAAGACAACAAAATACAGCCAAGCCTACATTGTTGGTTTTAACCAAGTGAGACAAAACTTTGTTATCACAGGCAACGTCTGATGATTTTGATGTTTCTTCAGACCTGGACTTTTCAGAGGAAAATAAATCTGGTTTAACGGACGAATCACTCATATTGATATCTTTTTGACAATCTGACCAAACGAAATTAGCCCAGTCAATGTGACCATTTTCTATTGGACTGTTAAGAAAGGGCTAGCACGATAAAGTGAGAAAAGGTGGAAGTAGTAGTTAATATATATATATATATATATATATATATATATATATATATATATATATATATAATTGCAAAATTTTGTTCATTGCTCTTTAGGGTTCAGAAATTCATTTACTGGTTTTCAATTATCGCTAAAACCTTTCATAAAAAGGAAGGTATAAACTAAATTGTAACTAGCTGTATAGAAGGGAATCATGAAATTTCGGTGAAAAGCAATGTGTTGAAAAAAGTGATCGGATTGAGAGCAAAGCCAGGGAGATTAGAATAGCAATAAAGTATGACGAACATATAAAAAGATTGTAAAATCACAGAAAATTTGCTCCAATATAGGTTTGTACAAAGAGTATTTAGGATGGAACCCAACTGTACAAAAACTTCGTCCTAAAGATGGGTACATCTCAGAATGAAAGGAAACAGAGTAGGAACATATTCTGACTCTACACTGGTAGCAAATAATAATCTTAACACCAGAAAAAATTTTAATATTGAGTTAGAGAGTGAAATTGGATTTTCATCAGGAAATTTATCATTGGGCTTTCAAAGACCACTAGTTTAAGGTCACAAAAAATAGAAACCTGGTTTACATGTGTTTTTAAAAGTTTTTGTGGATGTGATTAGTTAGGGAATCATTTAATTAATCGCTTCTAGTAACATAAGCATGCAGTAAAAGGTGCTACTTAAATGTAATGAATAACACTTCCCATTTACTTCGATAACTAGAACTTCATCATTTTGAGCGAAGAACGAATGTCACTAACTTTAAGAAATATATGTTACACTATCCACATATATTTCTAAACTCCATTTAAAATCTATCGGCAAGGGGCTTTAGTAGTTTATATAATACGTTTATTAGTAAATAAACTTACTTCATTAGACGATAGTATTGTTGATAAGTTATTTTCACTCTTCAATTTTGAATTACGAATTAATATTTGATTGAATTGGACAATCCAGTTATTGAAACTAATCTCAAAACTTTCGAAGAATAATATCTGCAAAAAACATTAATAAAACTTTTAGATTTAGTAATTGATTATATAAGTTTACGTTACTGCTGAAGTATTTAACAGGAACAAAGCGAACTCAAGTTTTTTAAATACAAATTATGGCTCTACAGGAGTAAAACGTTTACAAACTTATGATGGAAATAAATGCGACTTATTATAAAAAAAATAACGGAAATAAAAACAAGAGCTAACTCAATGATCATATTTTTAGTCAGATATTTTGGAAAATACTTAGCTCCATGTAGGATATAACCAGATGTAAGCCATTTGTAAGTAGTGTTATCCCCTGTGACGGTTCCTCATTGACAACTAAATGACCCATTAGTGTAAATATTTACAGTTTATGATATAGATATTAGAATAATTTGTTCCCATAGTTTTCGTTTCTGACATAAGACATTTTAATAACACACTAGATGCCATTACCTATGTAAATTTGAAGATGTTATAGTGAAAACAATGTCAGTCCATCAATTACAATGATTTGAATGTGATCTACTTAGAATAAAACAAATACGTGTATTATACTCGATTCTGTAGTGAACATTCAACTCGATAATTAAATTACATAAAACTACATAAAATTCGACAGAACTACCTCTAATCTTTGTAGGAATAAATCACGCAGTAATTCTATCCATATATTGAATTTGACTAGTCCTATATCAATTTGCTTTGAATCATTTTCAAAAGAACGGACAGCGTGTAGTCGTTGTACAAGAACTAGTACAGTTGTACGAAGATCAACCAGTGTTTCGAAATTAGAAACATGACTTAATGATTCCGACAGAACTTCTCGGCAAATTCGAACAGCACTATTAATAAATAAGTAATCAAATCAAAAATACAGTGAATAAGATTAAAAATCTTGGCAATCTAAATCGTGTTATTTCCCATTTCTTACAAATAATTGATATACAAAGCACTACTCGATGGAGATCGGAAATATATTCGAACTAGACAAAAAGACTTGAGAAATGATGGTGAACTGCAGTTTACATCAGAGTCAGTCAGTCAATTACAACATAGAACTTCGTATGCACGTACACCATATTAGCGCAGAGACGTAATCGTCGGAGCATAGGCCACCGACCAGTATTATTCTTCAACCTATTCTGTCCTGGGCCCTACTTTCTTTCCCCTGTATTTGTCGTTGTGTGTGAAATAGAAGGGCCAGATCATCTGTGAAGTACAGATCGTAGAGCTGCACCCGGGCTGTCCACTTAATACTGCGCTGCTCCCCAGATTTTGAATTTTTTATGATCCAGTCGATCACCGAGAGAAAGAGGGAGTGAGAATAAGCAACCCTGCCTGACACCAGTCTTCACCTCGAAAGAGTCTGTTAGCTGTCCGCCATACATGACTTTGCAGTTTAATCCATCACGATAATTCCGAATGATGTTTACTATCTTCTCAGGCACGCCGTAGTGTCCAAGAAGCCTCCATAATGTTTTTCTGTCCACGCTTTCGAATGCTTTCTCGTAGTCAATGAAATTGATTTAGAGTGGTGAGTTCCATTCAATCGACTCTCCCACAATGATCCGTAGTGTTGCGATTTGGTCAGTACACGATCTATCCTTACAAAATCCAGCCTGTTGATCTCAAAGTTGGGCGTCTACGAAGTCCTTCATTCTGTTTAACAACATGCTGTTGAAGACTTTGCCTGGTATTGAGAGAAGAGTGATGCCTCTGTAGTTCTCACACTTGCTGAGATCGCCTTTCTTTGGTATTTTGATGAGGTATCCTTCTTTCCAGTCTGTTTGTACATACTCTTCCTCCCAAATCTTATTGGACTGAATGTTAGTGCTACGTCTACTTTCAGTGCCTCTGCTGGAATGCTGTCTGGTCACGCTGCTTTGCCGGTCTTGATTTGTCTGATGTCCATACAGATCTCTTCAATAGTTGATGTGCCAACATCGATTGGGAGGTCCGTGGATGCTGTTCCGATGTTGGGTGGGTTCAGAAGGGTTAGTCGACTCAAGTGTTCCTAAAAATGATGTTCTTTATTATTGCTGATTACTTTGCCTTCCTTGATTATCACTGGTCGTTCTGGTTTGTAGCGATACAATTGTCTTAAGTTTTCCTCGCGCAGCCTTTTTCGCCGTCATTGCTGGATCTTCTAAATTCTTACGTTTGTCAACTCTGATGCTCATCTTCATTAGCTTGTTTGCTTCTGTATATTCAGCTTATACCTTTGGCTGAACTACAAAAGCTATTATCCATAAAATATGCCCGACCGCAGCTGCTACCTCTCATGATGACCCAACCGAGCTATATTGGCTGGAACATGTGTTCGTGTATGTCTTACTGCTGACTGTAGTAGAGAGGTGTGACAGCAGTAAGGTGTTTTCCTCGGACAACCAGCAGCTGCAGCAATGCTGCCTTCTCACAAAGAACGAATGGTTAGAAAAGGTCGACTCTAAAAATTTCACACCTCACCTTACCTCACGGATTTCCGTCTCCGGCGGTACGACCTTTCAAACAAGAGTGGAGCTGATACTCTAAAAACCTCTCATAAAAAGACCGTGCGTGACCGGCTTCAAGCAGTTGTCCTTCGGGCTCTGTGGTCACGCTATCAGGTTTCTATGGTCGACGCTAATCTACCTTCTTTTCCAGGTTCCTCAAGAAACATCCTTCCACGGTGTGGGCAGCCGGGAAGTGACATCCGACTTCATAACCGTAACAGTACATGAGACCAAATCGGTTACAATCAAACCCTTCCTACACCAACTAACAACTCTTTTATCTAAACGACTAACACTTCTTACGTTCCATTGTCACCGCACAACGCTAATGCAAACATCACGAGTTCACGAAACGTTATTCCTAGTCTCCAGAAACCCCGTCCTAAATTACGTGTTGGAGCCTTCAATGTTCGAACTCTTTGTTAATTAGGACAACAGGTTTTCTTAGCTAGGACTTTAGAATCTCATGTCATTGATGTATGCTGTCTCGGAAACGCGCATACAGGACTCTAGTAGTGTCATTTTTTTACCTCATTCGTCATGATAAAGAACGAACTCGATGTACACTCCGTGTATCTGAAAACACTAATGCGCATAGTATTAAGCCCCAGAGCAGAACTAGCTCTTCTAGTTTGGATGTCAGTAGACAGTCGCTTAAGCGCTGTCCGAGTCAACGGGACAGTAAGGACTCGGAATGATAGTAACACCTGCCGTTGCTTCTTCTTTGTATCTGCATACGCTTCCACTGGCTGCATCTTAGACTAGGTAAAGTATGAGTTTTACAGAAACCTTAATAACCTGGGTGGGTCTTATAGTGTCGCGGCTCAGAGAACAGAAAATGGCGACCATCTGTGGCAGCTATGCTCAAATAACCACCTATTCCTAGAAAATACTAACTTTAAGAACAGGGAAAAACATCTCTTGACCTGGCGACCACAAAAGTAGTCCCAACGTTGGACCCAACTAGATCACATCGCCATCAGCCAACGTTGGAGGGGTTAATAGAGGACAGTCGCTCGTCCTGGGTTACATATTTAGATTTAGATCGTGCCCTAGTGCGAGCGCGCATTTGTTTGAGACCTACTGGACGTAAGAAAGACACCGCATGGAAGCCGTTTTAGGGTTCTACTCAATGATAGCATAGCTAAGAATATATTTCGGGAACAACTTGAAAAACAATTAGGCAACCATGTAAGTGATTCCCATCCAGAGGCAGCTCGGAGTGATATCCATGCTGCTCTGGAAACAGCAGTGATATCTTCTAGTAAGGTAAACCATAAGCCTAGGATGAAGCCGTGGATCTCAGTAGCATCCACCGAACTTACAGATGCTCGAAAACTCATCCCGCCTGGCTCTGAACATAACGAAGAGAGAAGTCAGCTTAAGCGCATGCTGATAAAAAGCCTACGCAAAGTTCGCTGACAGTGGTGTGTTGCGAAAGCAAGAGAGATGAAAAAGGCAGTGGCGATAGGTAACAGTAGACAACTATTCAGAATTATCTAGGAGATCGGATTTCGAAATCCCACTGCAAGTAGGACTGTCTCGGAAAAGGATGGGCTTTTTATTCATTCCCAACCCAGGAGATTGGATCGATGGGCAGAACACTTCAGGGGCCAATTCAACTGGCTTTCAACCACATTTCAGTTACACATAATTTCCAGTCAACCTCAATGGCAAATTGATGGGAGTCCCCCAACTCATAATGAAGTTGAAAAATCTATAGGAAATGTCAGCGTCAGAGAACAGCGGGCCCTGACAGGCCAACCTCTGAGATTTTTAAGTATGATAGTCGAGTTTCAGCAGTTAGATTGACCGAGATCTTGGTTAGAATCTGGGAGCTGGGCGTAATCCTATCTGTCTGTTCTCAATCACTGATTGTGACAATCACAGAGGGATCACTTTAGTTAATATGGTGTATAAAATATTAGATTCAATAATACTCCGACGCTTAACTGGAGCTCGTGAAGAGCAGACTAGAGAAAACCAGGCTGGTTTCAAACTTGAACGTGAATGTATAGACCAGATATTCACACTACGACAGGTCCTGGAACACAAACACACATTTAGGCGTCCGACAATTATTGTCTTGCTTGACCTTCGTGCAGCATTGAACTCTCGATCGTGAGGTTCTTTGGAAGTGTCTGTCATTGAAAGTCGTATCAGAGATTTACGTTACATACTGTCTAGTCGAACACCACTGGTCGGGTGAGAGCTTATGGCGAACTGTCATCGGAATTCTTTACTTCAAGTGGTGACCGTCAGGGATGTCCACTCTCTCTATTCTTGTTTAACTTTGCCGCAGACATAGTTTTAGAGTTAACATCATCGTCGTCTTACTTTCCAAGGGTGGACCTTCTACCAGGTGACTCGCCTGGTGACTTAGGATATGCCGATGAAATAGTTCTATCCGGTGAAGACTCTGACAAAATGTAGAGTCTTCTGATCACCCTAAGCAACAATGCAAACATGTTCGTGATGTAATTCTCCCCGTCGAAATGAAAAATGTTGCTTCAGGATTGGCTTGCGTTGGCACCTGGACTAGAGACAGGGAGTGTAGTTAAGCGTGTAGACCGCTTCACTTATCTCGGAAGTCTCATCAGTGCTAATGGTCTAGTGAGTGACGGAATCTGAGTACGGATACAGAAGGCTCGATTAGCCTTTGCCAACTTGCGTCACTTAAGGCATAGGCTAGATATCCGTCTGCAAACCAAAAAACGACTGTACTGCGCAGTAGTTCGCTCCGTCCTACTTTATGGATGCGAAACATGTACGGTAAGAGGTGAGGATATTCGTAGGTTATTAGTATTCGATTAGAGATGTCTTCGAAGCATTGCTCGTGTATCCTGGGACTATTGAGTAAACAATGCTCTTATTAGGAAAGGTGTAGTAGTTAGGGAAGGCAAATCAATAGATGAAGTAGTGAAACGTCATCAGTTGAGGTGGTTGGGACATTTGTTACCTATGTACATCCTCCGACTGACTCGTCGAGCGGTTTTGTGTAGGAGTAGGTTGGACGAAAGCTAGGGGAAGCCAAATCAATAAATGGCACAAATCCATAAAGTCTTTGGTAAATGCATCGAGTCATGGTGGTAGATATAGACTACCTGGTTGGGGTCCGCGCGACGATAGTAACCGATGTTTAGAGACCTTGAAATTCATGGCTGAAAAATGCTTGCAATGGCGCCGGTGCATCCACTCTGCGTTCTCTGAAATTTTAACCTTCTGAATTCCTCATTATCCTTATCTTTTTCTTTTTAATTTTATTGCACTGGATTATACTTCATGAATAATATCTCCGGACCCTAGTCTTCTTCAGTACATCTGGTTACTCTACTATCTCTATCTCTACGGGTTTTGAACTGACAGTTGAGTCTCTGTGCAAATGTGGTACGGCAGCCTGAACTTATGTACGTACGTACGAAGTTCTATGTTGCAATTGACTAACTAACTCCACAAGATACAGGTGTTTAATAACAGTCATCTACGCTAGATAATCCAGATCCCTTGATCAGACACGATCGGCAACAGATGATGAAAACAGTAAAAGCCCTGGAGGTCGACAGAACACATTGAGGAAAGCACCCAATGACGTCACAAGGCAAGCACTCACTTGGAACTCCGATGATCAAAGGAATAGAGGAAGACCGAAGAATACATTACACGGAGAATCGGAAGCAGTCATGAAAAGAATGGATAGCAATTAGATATAACTGCATGAGAAGGATCAGGACAGAGGTTGGAGAATACCGGTCGGTGGCCTATGCTCCATTTCGGGTAACACGCTTAAGTACTTTTTACTAGAGTAAATTGCTAACGATTATTTTCACGTAACTCTGACCTGGAAATGCCACATCCATAAGCAAAATCCAGAACCGATAACACAAGATTTTAAATTATAATAATTTGCTTTTTCATGTTCACTTGGTTAAAGCTAACTACAATTTCACGCTAAATTTCTGAGAGTCAAACAGATGATACCTACTTTCTACATTATGAAAACTTGGGATCTACCATCTTAAGTTTCGGAAGTTGTAAAGGTATTATTTCTTCTAAGCACTTTTTCATAAGGACTAGTTAAGACACGTTATTGTGAGATACCTGGGCATTCGATAAAATACCAAATGTATGAGTCACTTCAGTGCGTAATGGGGTAAGAAATAGAAAACAAAATTCGCACTAGGCTGTTTTTACTTGTAACTGACTGGCTAGCCTATTAAAACTGGCACTAATTTCGGAGAATTTAATACCAATGAGCTAAAAATAAACTTACTCATCCCACCAAATAACCCAAAGTTTACGCAGTAAGCCTGACAGTTTTTCTTGTTCAGAATCAGAGAAGTCGTCTGAAAATTTAAAATTCTTCAGTTTGAAAGTTAATACATCGCTCGGTAAATGTGTATAAAGACGATCTCTGGAGAAGATGGATGAGTCTAAAATAAAAAAAATCTTGTGATGATGAAACAGAGAAGCTTAAGAAAGACATAACGATTCGTGAAGTTTGTTGATGTTGGTTAAGATTAAATAAGTGTGAAGCTGAAAAAGAGTAGAGTATGAGAGATACCTTATTTATTACACTAGTTATGATTAATAAAATAACTTTCGCTAACATCTACGGGAGGAAAAAGTACGATCTACACATTCACGAGAAATGGGCTCAGAACAAGGTTTAAAAAAAAAGCCTAACCAACCAGTGAGGTTAACGTTTTCCATTTGCATGATCAGGTAACTGACAGTATCTACTGTATGAAAATAATGACCGTTAATTTTGGTGCAATTTCTACAAATAAGATCATGTACATTATAAAGTCTCGAAACCCCGGATTAACGAGTGAAAAATCGCTGACTCACGGAAACCGTGGATTCTGTATTTTCAAGTTTCGTTTACACTATATTAAACCTAAATGTGACATAAAATGTTTATATCACATAAAACAAGTATGAAAGAGTAGACAATGTGAAACATTAAGCAGAAGTTTTAATTCACATTTACAAGAACGAAGTACCTTGGAATGTCCAATCGCCAAACAATTTAACTCGCGAATTAACAGCTCCTTTGTAGGTGGATCCTTCAGCACTAGTTTTCGACAAAAATAGAAACTCAAGATACTCCAAAGTTGAAAAAATATGCTTAATAACTAGTGAAAGCTGTTTGCGAACGGATAGGACAAAATTAGGTTTTAATTTAATCATCCCGTTGTTTGGCGAATAATCTCTACCAAGAATACAGTATAATCCAACCTTGAATAAGATACATAAAAAAAAGGAACGAATGTTTTAAAACAGATTAAGACAATATGAAAGTGGTCCAGTTTTATAGAATTACTTATGAACATATCGTAAAACCAATCACTAAAATACGTTTTAAAATGTGTTCATAACCGAGTACATAATAAAAAGAGGACGATGGAAAAATTCTGTAGGCAAAGTTCGTCGAAAAAAACCGCGCTGTATATGCGACTTGATCAAGGTTATAAGCATAGTGAGAACCAATGCACCACAGATTGCTTGTGAACTATAGTGCTCCTGAAGATGAATAGCAAATGATAATATCAGGTTATACGTATTATTGAGCATTAGTTCTCTTTGAATGACATAACGGGAATTAAATAGTAATGGTTTTACGTTATAAGCAACATCAAAATATAGCCTAGGGGATATCTGCTTATGCAGACCATGAGCAGTTTTGGGGACACTTATTGCGATCAAGACGAGTTTAATTTGCACTTAAAAATCTTAGTACTGCCATCAAAATTTTCAGTGGGGCAGGCGCATTCATTCTTTACATTCTCTCAAATCTTAACTCTCTGGATTCTTCTTCATCACCCTCATCTTTCTCTTTTTAAGTTAATTTCACTAGATTATACTTCTTGAATAATTTGTCCGGACCCAAATCTTCTCCATTAGCACTAATACTTCTACTACCTCTACTTTATGATATATGAATTGACAATTGCGTTTCTGTGCTAATATGGTATGGCAACTTGAACTGATGTACGTACGTACAAAGTCCTACGTTGTAACTGTCCGACTAACCGAAATTGCGTGCACCCTGAGGGGTACTTTCTAACTCGTTTCAAATCATCTGAGTGAAGTGATCCCGACCGAAGCTGCTACCTTGACGTGGCGGTCGGGCTTGTCTATCGTGATGACCCAACCGAGGTATATTGGCTGGGACATATGTTCCTGAAGGTTCTACCATGCCAGGCAGATCGATGAGACTAAAAGCAGCTACTCAAGGTCTCAGGGCGAAGTCGTACTGCTGACTGCAGAGGGGTGTGACAGCAGTAAGGTGTTCTCTCGGACAACCAGCATTTGCAGCGGTGCTGTCTTCTCACAAGGAAGGAAGGGTTAGAAAAGGTCGACCCTAAAAATGTCACACCTCACCCTACCTCACGGAATTCCGTCTCTGTCGGTATGGGTGCCCACTAAGGGCTTTTAAGAGCGGAGCTAATACTCAAAAATCCCTTCATAAAAAGGCAGTGCGTGACCGGTCTCAAGCAGTTGTCCCTTGGGCTCTGCGGTCACGCTCCCAGGTCGTTAGGACCAACGCTAATCTACCTTCCTTTTCAGGTTCCTCAAGAAACAACCTTCCACGGTGTGGGCAGCCGGAAAGTGACAACCCCCCTTATACCCGTAACAGCACACGAGACAGAATCGGTCAAAATCAAATCCTTCCTGCACCCCATAATACCTCTCTTATCTCCACGACTAACTCTTATCATATTCCTTTATCACACTGCACAGCTAATGCAAACAATGCGAGTTCACGAAACGTCATTTCTGGTCTCTTGAAACCCCGTTCTTGACTACATGTTGGAGTTTTCAATGTACGGACATTGTGTCAAATAGAGCAACAGGCTTCATTAGCTAGGACTTAAGAATCTCGCGCCATCGATGTGTGCTGAGTCTCGGAAACGCGCATACAGGATCCGAGTAGCATCATTCACTTGACCTCACCATGTCAAGATAAAGGAGCAACTCGATTTACACTTCACGTAGCCGGTAGCCCTGATGCTGCTTCCAGGGGTCTCGCTGGTGTATGTATAGCATTGAGTCGTAGGGCAGAACTAGCGCTCCTAGACTGGATCCCTGTGGATAGTCGATTGTGCGCTGTCCGACTGAACGGGACAGTAAGGACTCAGAATGATAGGGATACCCGTCGTTGCCTCTTCGTCGTATCTGACTACGCTACCACTGACTGCAGTTTAGACGAGGTGAAAGATGAGTTTTACAGAAAGCTTTCGGACCTCCACCAAAAAGCTAGGCGTTCTGATATAGTAATAATGGCTGGTGACTCTAATGCTCAAGTAGGTAGACTAGGTGAGCAGGAAAGACACCTGGGTGGATGTTATGGTGTCGCGACTCAGAAAACAGATAATGGCAACCGTCTGTTGCAACTAAGCTCAGATAACCGCCTATTCTTAGCAAACACTAACTTTAGGCATAAGGAAAAGCATTTGTTGACCTGGCGACCCCCAAAATCGTCTCAACGTTGGACGCAACTAGATCATATCGCTATCAGCCACCGATGGAGGGGTTCGATAGAGGACTTCGCTCGTTGTGGGGCACATGTTTAGGTTCAGATCATGCTCTAGTGCGAGCGCGTATTTGTTTGCGCCTTACTGGACGCAAGAAAACCTCTTAGGGCTTTACTAAATGATAATCAAGCTAAGAAAATATTTCAGGAGGAACTAGAAAAACAGTTAGGCGACCATGTAAGCGATTCCCATCCGGAAGCAGGTTGGAATGATATACAAAAGGCTGTGGAAACGGCAGTGATATCTGCTAGCAAGGTAAACCATAAGGCTAGGATGAAGCCGTGGATTTCAGTCGCATCCACCGAACTGATGGATGGGAAATGGACGTAATCCCGTCCCATTCTACAAAAAAGGACAAAAGTCCTCTTATGACAAGTAGTAGAGCGTGTTGATCACTTCACTTATCTGGGGAGTCTCATCAGCGCTGATAGCCTAGTGACTGACGAAATCTCAGCTCGGATACAGAAGGCTCGATTTGCTTTTTCCAATTTACGCCGTTTATGGCGTAGGCGAGATATCCGTTCGCTAACCAAAGGATGGGTATACTGCGCAGCAGTTCGCTCCGTTCTCCTATATGGATGCGAAACATGGCCGTTAAGAGTACAAGATGTTTATAGGTTACTAGTATTCGATCATAAGTGTCTTAGAAGCATTGCTCGTATATCATGAAACAACCGAGTAAGCAATGCTGTCGAAACGAGTACTAGGTAAGGATGGCAGATCAGTAGATGAAGTAGTGAAACTTCATCAGTTGAGGTGGTTGGGACATGTGTTACGTATGGCTAACCACCGACTGCCTCGACGAGCTATGTTTTGTGGTGTAGGAGTAGGTTGGAAGAATGTTAGCGGCAGCCAGACCAAAACATGGCACAAATCCATGAAGTCACTGACAAGTGAACTGAGTCATGTTGGTAGATGTAGGCTACCTGGTTGGGGTCCGCGAGGCGATGGTAAGCGATGGTTAGAGACCTTGAATGACGTGGCTCAAAATCGTTTGCAATGGCGCAAGTGCATCCATTCGTTGTGCTCTCTCAAATCCTAATCTTTTGGATTCGTCAGCACCTCTATTTTAGTCTTTCTAACCTTATCTCACTGAATTATACTGCTTGAATAATATCTTCGAACCCTAGTCCTCTTTATTGCCATTAATACCTCTACTATCTTTATCACTATGGGATTTGACTTTACATTTGCGTCTCTGTGTTAATATGGTGTGGCAACCTGAACTTATGTATATACGTACGAAGTTCTACATTGCAACTGACTGACGGACTGAATGAAGTGATGATGGTCATCCATGAAAATATCTTTGTCGTATCTGTACCAGAAGTACGATTTCGAGCTCTAACCAACCTTAAAATTATGGGAGATCATCAAGAAACACCACCTCTATTAGATACAGTTTGAAAGTGATTATATTTATTAAGCCTAAACATTATACCACGGTTGCAATATTGGATGACCCAATAATGATGACGACCGCACGAGTCCGTAGACAAAAAAATTTGAAAAACCAATTACGACATTAAAACTTGATCAAGCTCCAAAAACAAACCACATAGTCGGTTAAATACAATGAACTACGCGGCACAAACGTGTATGGATCTATGTTTCCAAGTTTTACGGTAGTGTAAAGATTAATAAGATTGAAAACAAGTGTGTAAAAAACGACTCAGACAGAGGTATGAAACTAAAAATAAGAATAAAACCCAGAAGCGAATGTAGAGAACCTAAAGAACGGGATGAACATTCGAACACAAGAAAGCGAATATCGGATGAAAGTAATATGAATGCGGTATTTAATGGCGAGTGCATTTTCAAGTTTTGAATGTATACCATACTTATGAGAATCTCATTTGCAATCATATCTGTGCCTTTCAATGATGGTTTAGTCATAAAATCTGGCTTTGAAAACCTATTAGTTTTAGTAAAAAAAGATGTGTTTAACTGGCTTTTAACACAACAAGGACAATAGGAATTGGTGGATATCGTACCTACTTGACATCAAATGTATTTTCAGTTTTCATTTGCCTTTGGAAGGTCAGGCAGTATGAATCGACTTTGTGCAGAGTGCGCGATTCAAAAATAATTAAACATGCAGGCAATACATCTGTTAAACTTTCAAAAAATACGGTACCAAGATTGGAGAAAATGGATTGGTTAGAGTCGTTGTTATTACACTGAATGATCAGAGGATTATCAGACTTTAAACAGATAATAGTCACTAACAAAAGTTTCGATATTATGCATTTTTTGGATTCTAATGGTAATTTGAGATGATCAAAGGGAAGCTCACCTTCCTCCCATTAAAAAATTCCTCAAGCACCTGCATCATGGATAGATCACCAAGCATTAAAAGAGAAGTAAGAGAATCACATATTTCCTGAAAATGCTGATTTGTATAAATTTAATTACTTCTTTAGTTGACGGAGGAGCAGACAATCGTTTTCGACATGCTGATGATACAGCTACTTCCATATGGACCAAAGAGTCCCATGCCCGACTAACAAGAACATTGGCATTTACGTGAGAAAACTGCTGCTCACAACTGAGATTAAGCCTGGCATTTAGATATCTGCCAAGGAAAAACAACCTTGCAGACGAAGAGTGTCGCCCCAAGTCCATATAGTTCCATATCTTTTAATGGAATTTATTGCACAAAACTTACTAATTCTGGTATGTCGAGCATCAATTTCAGTTGCGAAGCCGTTGACAATTCGTGAGATTGTGTTTTAATGGAAGGACTACAATTATCGGACCAATAACTTACTTTATTTTCGTCTCCATATCTTGATTCCAGGTAGCCAAGCTTAGCTTTAGTTGATCCAACAAGACAGAAACCTGATATTTGTTAAGCACGAAAAAATTCCCACCTCATAAGTAAGGTTTTTCATAAACAGTATGCGATCAGAAGCATCAATTATGTCTCGATGTCTTTCACCGACAAGGTGACGTAGCTCATCCTTTTTATGTTCCACATCAGCTCTGAAAAATAAGGGGCTAAGCTGGAAAAAAGTACCGTTTCTGGCGAACTATACGATTCAACTCATCTATGCTATGCTTAGTAAACAATCCGTCCACATTTTGAATGCGACCAGCTCTCATTCTTGATTCTGTAACGCAAGCAGTTAATTTGCCGCTCCAGTGTCCGTAATGATACGAAATCAATTATTTATAACGTACAATGATACACGTGATAGAAGGTCGGCTGATTTATGTTGATCTTACCACTGAATTTTTTGTTACCTTCTGAACATAAGCACTGGTAAAACGAATCGGATCTGCTCGAAGCATTCCAGAAGTTAATAACTCAATACAAAAATAGCAGGAAACCAAACTGAGTTTTTTCAGACCTTTGTGAACATTTTTGTGATATATCCCAGTTTATTTGAACCTAGAGTCAGCATAAAGATGGACGTTGAATCTAAGGTCGCCACCTTATAAAAAGATAAACATTTTATTCTACATACTATGAGGGATTTGAAAAGTCTAATTCCAGCTTATTACTTAATCACTTGATGCGCTTAAGTATACCAGAATTCTCGATGATTCGTGGGCTAGCTGCTTGTATGTAGTATTTTATGTCTGGTTTCGCGTAATCGAGGCATAAAGTCTGAGTAATATTTTGGTGACAGGTTTGGTTCATATGCAACTTTCCGGGGATATAGCTATTAGAAATGTTGAAATTATTGTTTTTAAACCAGACCTTTCAAGAGTTTACGACAAAATGTCAGAGTTTTGAGGAGCCGGTAGAGATGGAGTTTTTCCACACTTCTGGATTACATCCGATCTAGAGAAGGTATTGCTTGTAAAACATTCTTCTTCTTGGAGATTTTCATAATCACTAAAACTTTTCTGCCACTATAACTACTACATGCCCTTCGGACTTCGTAGTACTGAGATTTAAGCAATTGGTGATCAGTTATGAAAAATGAGTCACATGCATATCATCTGAGGGTGGATAAAAAGGCAGGTTCGGTTTTCCATTTCCACGACCTTGTGTAACTGTTTACAAAGCGGATATTTCACATTTAAATTACTAGAATTAAGTTGGAAGCACGTAAACCTGTCTAAGTCTGTAGTCTTCGCATGAACTAATACACTTTTCGCAGCTGAAAACCCCAACAGTTGTTGGGAATCTTTCCAATGTGTTCTGTTTATCTTTTTTTGAGCAACTGTCATCGGGGAAGCTGTCGTAATATCAGCTTCATTGAAGATCCTATGAGATTTCGAAAATAGAGGAAATGAGTAATTAGATTCACGTGTATTTCAATGAGATGTATTTACGTTGACAGGAAAAGCCCACATCTACTGGTCAGGTTTCCAGTTTGCAAATGGCTTCAGTTGTCATAAGTGAGCGATTGACTGGCTGCTACTATACAGACTTTTCCTGTTCTTGTATGATTTCAAGAATGCAGTCATTTAATTTCAACGCATGAGATAGGCATATGGAGTACAAGATGACGGGCAGCGGCGTAGCACTACAATGCACTGAAAAGATTAGTCCCCATAGTCCGTCACATTTTGGTGTAGCATTCTTGAAAGACATATACTGAGAAAGATATATCGAATCGTAATAATCTTCCTGAAAGATGCATCACTCCACATTGTGTATAAGACAAAAAATGAAAATTTCTGTTATAGGTCCTTTACTTTTTATACGATAAGTAAATCAACTCTCTATAATAGTTAAGTCATCGATGCTGAAATATGTTGATGATGTGAAAGTTTGACCAGAAATAACATGAGATGCAGACGGAAGGGCATGTATAGAAGCCTTAGAATTTCTGGTAAGCTGGTCTGAATTACAGATATTGTCTATCAGCTTGATCAGGTGTGTCTTCATGCATATTTAGGGTACAGAGATATATAGGGGCAACACTTAAAGAGTCGATGCCCGTAATCTGGTCTCACAATGAGGGGTGTAAGTAAGCAAGGATTTTAGGACTAGGGTACACTGCCATTTGGCTGCGGCTAAAGTGTTCATAAACCTATGGGCTTTATGATGAATATTTAACAAGTTGTTTACCAGTATGTTCACAACAGTACACACAACCCTTGTCGAATGTAAACTTGAAGACCGTGTTCAGACTGAAGCCCCTGTATACAAGGAAAAAGTACACAGGCAGCAACCTGAGAATTTACGGAACACAGACTTGCCTAAAAAGTTGGAAAACTTTAAAGGTGATCTGGTTTCGATGTATAAAATAATAAGAAATGATTTAATGTCTTATATTTCTACTCTTTTATTTCCTAAATGATCAAGATAACCTGGCTGACGTAGCGGCCGATTATAGAAACTGAGGAAGCACAAAATGCCCGTGGAATACAGGTAGTCACACTGAATCATCAACTCCTAGAACCCGTTATCCGAAGAAGTGCTGGCAGAACCTACCATTGACTCGTTCAATAGAGGGTGGTGTATCTGACCAGCATTCCTGACGGTTGGGCGATAACCTCAATCTACCCATGTCTGTGTGGCAGAACATTTTGTTTGCTTATGGCTCCTGACGATATAGCAGGATGTAACAAATCAGTGATATTGATGTTACTTTTCCTTGTTAACCTCGTTTACAACTCATGTCTGTAACCTTGCACTGGTTTTTACTTCCTACCGAGAAATCCTATTACAAGCTGGTCTGGACAACTATACTAAAAAAGAGCTCATTCATAACTTCTTGAGCTGCAGAGTTAAAAATAAAAAGAATAAATAAAACAAAAACTTATATCACTGAGCCTCTTTATTATATTTTGTCAATCAACATTATTACTAACAACTTGGTTCTTTTGAATTTCCTCTATTCATACGACTAACTTCCCTGTAGTTATCTCACTACTGAATTGTCCTCATTAACCTACATAAGTGCAGGTGTACAGTTGGTCTTCTGATATTAAAAAAGTCTGAGTAGACATACCTTTGTTTTATTCATAAACGTATGTGCGAAGCCGTTGTTCGGCTTTGAACAAGAATATTTTCTGTTCCGCTCCTCGTCCCGTTTTCTTTATTCCTATTTTTCCAGCACCTTATTCCAATCCTCATATATTAATCTGGATATTTGCAGTAGACTTGGTTACCCTACCCAGGAACATGTGAAATCATTAGCTGATGAATATCAACCAGACCTTTATACATTTACCACATAAATTCTTGTTACATGAAAACCTATCTTGCCTGTAAGTTGGCATGCCTCTTGTAACATGTTTGTTATTTGAGAATATATTATTATTATTATTATTATTATTATTATTATTATTATTAGACTACAAACTTCCATGAGCTTACTAGAAAAGGTTTGACCGAGGCCGTAGGTCTTCACTCCCCAATATACAGATCTGATGAAATGAGCAACATGTGTCCAGTTAGACAATAGATCATATGTTTGGTTTACTTTAAGAGCGCCATAAAAGCAGGTCTGAAAATCTCAACGATTTAGCGGAAGAAAGAAAAAGCTACCAAAATTTACTTTAATACATTATGAATACTGGGTAAACAATAAACACAACTTTATGTCAGTCTACCGGACTTATTTTGTATAACTAATTCAAAGCCTCTGTAAAAAGGGTGAGAACACATTAAAATTCTCGGAGGTCCCTCCTTTCGTAGCCTTGAGATTAAATTTCCATCTTTAAACGACCGTACGGCTGTCTGCAATGAGTCACAACAGTTGGAAGCTTCTACTTCAACAGGTCTCATACTTCTCTATTAGGTGATCGATTTCTGTCTACTAGTTTGTTAAACTAGCACGATTTCTGTTGGTTAATATATTTCGTACTCATTCGTTACAATAAAAGATGATGATAATGGACACTTTGTGTTGTTACTCCAAGTTACTGTAATGTGTTCATCATATGATCAGGGCTAATATTTAAATCCATTGGTGATGTACATGCCAATTTATCGCTTTTAATGCTTTTCATGATCTACATCCATAGCATATGCAATCGCTTCAACCCTTGCAAAATCTAACTGCGCTGATCTATAAAACTGACAAATTTGACGTGTGGAATTTGAATCAAACAATCCAGTATGGACTGAATAAATTGACTAGTCTTACTGTTGGAAATTAGATCTGATTATCTGGAAATGTAGCGGGGTGCGTACTGGATACACTTCTGCAAAAATAAATGTCAGTCTCAGAAAGAATGAACTGTTAGTTATTCTAATACTAACTGTAGATGTCATAACTAAACAATCAGATTGGTTAAGCGCTCACCACGTTATCTAGTCTGACCGGTCTGTAAACCTTCATTGTTGTAAATGACCTAATAATTGAAGGACGTTATTATTTTATTATATTGATGTGACTTATGTTTTTATTCATTTTCTAAAGACACGCTATACTGGTCGGTACATTTGCTCGTCTTACTTGATGATTGTAATTTCCTTATTTATTGTATTAATTTAATCGTTTTTTTGTTTATAAACTGATAAAGTTTAAAACCAAGTAGTCTTTTACTAACTGTAGCTTTACAACTGATTCTGTGCTCGTCAGCCTTGCGTTTACCGTTCTAGAATTAGATCTGTAGGATAAATTAAATCCTACATATACTGCCTAACCTTACATCAGTAACTTATCTAGGAATGCATTACACTCACAACCTCCACTTTTAATAACACATTTCAAACGGAGTATCTGGAATGATATAATGCTAGGTTTCATTTTTCGTAGTTTCTTTCGTGAAGAATCCGGGAAATTCTTTGTAACACACGCGTAAGGCCTACTGCTGAATATTGCTCATCGTTATTTTCCAGCTTACGCCTATCTGGTAAGTTGAAGTTTGAAGGAATGCAAAGGAATGCCGCCCGTAAAATACTTAAAAATGACGCATATTAGTTGTCCCATCCGATGTCATGAACTTGACTCACTCTGACAAACAAGTCTTAAGTCCAATATAATCCTTTACTTCAAGCACATGCTCGAGCTCACATACTGCTCTTTTAGAGTAGTAATTCACCAAGGTCCATGTGTACACAATCTTCGAGATAATGTATCTGCGAATGAACTTGAGAAGTACTAATCAAAACTAGAACACTACCGTTCTCAACTTCTACATACATTGGTTTAAACCTACTATTTTGAGGATGTTAGATTCCCAGAACTCGC